CCATTGAGTGGGCGTGGCTGAGGTGGTAATGGCAAACTGGGTGGGACTAAAAAGTTCAATCAATCAATTCCAACTTTGCAAGATCTTTTTTTTTCCCATGAGAAGTTGAAATTGATTGATTGAACCTTTTTTTTTTTTGCACACGGCGGCGGAGGCCTAAAGCAAAAAGGTTTTATAAAACCCAGCTGAAGGCCTAGGACTGGGGCGACGGTGCGGGTGCCCATCGAAAAGGCTCTGAGTGCCGCCTCTGGCATCCGTGCCATAGGTTCGCCACCACTGCACTAGAGTATTCCTGGAAATCTGGCACTTAGACAAATCATCCATCAACAGGCACATAAACAACATTCACACATCATTCTAAAGAGACAATCTCTTGGATTGTGTGTGGCTCTATCTTCTCTTTCTCTTAAGGATATTCCCATATAGACCGTTACATTGTCTTTGGACTTTGCCATCACAGTAAGCCATTATTTAAGTATGATTTGTGCAATAAGTCATTTTCTAAATGTACTGAATGTACTAAGCCATAACATAGACTATCAACCAAAATAGCAGACCACAGAAGACACTAAATCAAAAATAGCCATTAAAGCTTAGTATAGACAACCCATGACTCCCCGGTCTTCATTTCAGGGAGATTGCCTTATCTAAGCAAAACTCAAATAACCAAGTACAAAAAAGTCGTGGGAGTAGGAACAAGTGGCAATTTCCTTCTGACTTCCCCATTGACTTTGTTTGTGGGAAGGTGCCAGGAAGCATCATAAATCTTGATCATGTGGCTATGGTGATGCAGAGATGCTTCAGCATCCACAACTTTGCCAATATAGCTGATCTGAAGATCTTTGAAATGTAAATCTCATGGGTCCCAGATTTTGGACACATTCTTAAAGTTAGCCCACTTGAGATACCTTGATTCAAAAACTCTTGTCCTATGATACACTGCTTTGCCCAGTTGTTGGCTATAAACAAACAGACAGAAGAGTTTTAGAAGTACATAGATGAGCCAAACTGACTTAGCTTGAGAACTCATCTCATTCTTATGAGGCTTGGCTTGCTATGAGCATAACTTTTGGCTTTCAACAGCCTAGCAATATGGAATTAGAGGTAGGATGTACCCTGTAACCACCGTGTCATTTTGGTATTATTGAACAGACAACACTAGTTATAGTGTTGCCCACTTTGGAAGTCCTCTGAAACATAGCCTTTTTTTATTTGTTCAAGTTTCATTCAATGAAAAGATCCTTTAGTGATCTGATGCCCCCATTTTAAACCACTGCAAAGAGTAAGACACTTTTTTCCTCATTAAATCTGCCCAAACCCCACCAATGCAGCCCCCCAAATTTTCCCCGAGTTCATGCCAATAAAATAGTGATAACACCAGCCACATTCTCTTAGGCCTGAGAAGACAAACTGAAGGGTGGGTCCCATCTGCAACTAACATTTAGCTCCATTTGCCCTTAGCAAACTAAATCATAAACAAGCAATCTACATTATGGCTTGGTGTGTTGTATGATCCTTGGCATAACACAATTCCATCACAAGGAACCAGTCAGAACTAGAATTGCACACAAACATCTCCACCTTGACACTGTCAAGACTGAGTATCTCCTCTCCCTCCAGGTAGGCTGAGCAACACTCATTTAAAATGAGCAAATTGCCTCATTTTAAAGAGAGAAAGAGCAACAAAGGTAATTAGGTGATTGGAGGCTAAAACATATGAAGATTGGGTATGCCTAGGTCAGGCATGTCAAACTGCTGGCCCGTGGACCAGATGCGTCACACCAAAACCGCACCCACCCTATTGCCGGCAATGGGGAAAAAGTCATGATATGTCGCGTGATGTCATGTGACATCACGAGTTTGAATTGCCTGGTCTAAGTTAATGAAAGGTAGAACTAGGGGTGACGTGATAGCAGTGTACCAGTATTTAAGGGACTGCCACAAAGAAGCCACAACATATTCTCCAAAGTACCTGAAAGCAGGATAAGAAGCAACGGATGGAAACCAACCAAGGAGGGAAGCAACCTGGAAATAAGGAGAAATTTCCTGACAGCTAGAACAATTAATCAGTGGAACGACCTGCCTCCAGAAGTTGTGAATGCTCCAACGCTGGAGGTTTTTAAGAAGAAATTGAACAATCATTTGTCTGAAACGGTACAGGTTTTCCTGCTTGAGCAAAGGGTTGGACTAGAACATCTCCAAGGTCCCTTCCAACTCTGTTCATCTATCATTCTGTTATGTCCACCTGAATAGCCCCCAAACCTTAAAATTACTGAATTGTACCTCTGGGTCAAATTTGGATAACAACATGCTAGACACAGACAAACCAAAAGACAAAAAGACCTTCCCGGATGCACTGGGACACTGAGAATGTTAGGCCTGCAGCTTGCAAAGCATCATTTATCACCTTCCTCTGAGTTTTGACACTGTGGTTTGAAGATCTTCAGTAAAGGGAAGGGAAAAAGGAGAACTGCTGGAAGGGGGAGGATGGAGATTGTGAAAGTTGTGCTCTGCCATTTCCCAGGTCAGTTTCGAAAAGACTAAAAGCCAGCAAGAAACCAGCCTCAAGCAATCACATTTCTAAACTAGCAATGTTGTGTAAGGCATTAAAACATCAAAAAGGCACACCCGGCCTGCTCCAAGAAACTAGCTTGCAGAGCTGGCCTTAAAATGCAGCTCTGTATGAACAGCAGATCCAAACTTTACTTCTTTTGATTTAAAAAAAACAACTCTAATTCACTTACTCACTCCCTTGAGGAATCTAGAACTTTTTGATATTGTATGTGAGCTTCGGGCATCATGTGTGGCATTTCATATGACTTTGTTATCCAATTCATTAAGGGTCTAGTTTTCACCAATGTGAAAAACCTGGGGCTGTGCTATTTCATTACAAAGGGGAGGAGGTAATATGATTGAATTTACTGCCAATAACATTCCTGACTTAACAATTAATAAGAAAGACAAAAAAGTCTGGATACTGGATGTGGCAGTGCTTGGAGACAGCAGAAGAGAAGAGAGAAAAAAACTGGCCGTGCTTGGAGACAGCAGAAGAGAGAGAGAGAGAGAGAAAAAAAAAACTGGAGAAAATCACAAATCATAGGGACCTGAAAATAGAAGTAGAACGACTGTGACAAAAGAAAGCAAAGATACAATCCCGAAACATCTGGAACATCACTGGCATTGACAAAATCACCATCAGTCAATTGCAAAAGGCAGCTGTATTTGGAACAGTTGACATCCTGTGACGATACCTTTAATGCCATCAAACAACAACATCCGCCTAGCTCAGAGCCTTGGAAGAACTAAATAGATGGATAAAAATGTCAAATCTAACCTAAGCATCTGACTTACATTGCAATCCAACCATAATAATAATAATAATAAATTCCAAGGACATAATACAAAAGATGACAGAATTATCTTAGTCTTAGCAGTTTATTTTCTTGGGATTTTTTTAAAAATAAAAGCTTTCTTTTTTTTTAACGAAGGATCATTTTTGGATCATCTTGTAAGCTCTTGTCTCAATTCAAATCCTCATGACCCAAATATATAGTAGTTCAGCTACCTCATAAGGATTGGATTCACAGGAGAATGTTTGGAAACAATGGAATTTATCCCCCTTCATTTTCACCTTAAAATGGTGAGGCTCTCAGCAGGTATATTCTACCAGTGGCTGCTGTTCAATTTTGCAAAATAAAATTTGCATTTTTTTTATTGTTGGAACTGCTTTTAATTTGTGTAGGGCAGTTTCCACTGTGATTTCTAGAATGTTAGCCTAGTCTGCTCCGCAGGATCAATATCTAATATGGTGGAAGGTTCAAAAAGTGGCATTCTGGGAAAAGCTGTACTAGACAAAAGAACATAAGAATTTATTAGTTGTTTATAGTCCTTCTGATCTAGAATTCCAGCGGTGGGACATCAGCCTCCTTCACTTTGATCTCCTCTAGATATATTTGATTTTTAACATCTTAATCTACAGCTGATTGGCTGGAAGAATTTGAGACTCAGTTTAAAGGAGATTCCTGGCTGGAGAAATTCTTGGCCAACATTATTATATACTTTAGGGAAGCATCAGGCAAAGAATACCATTGATGGCCATCTCTTGAGTCTTAAGAATGGTGCAACGGAGATCAACAGCAGGATGCCTATGGTTTTAAGACCCTCCACAGAACCCACCCTCCCACCTCTTATTAAATAATTTATTTCATTTCTAAAGGCTGAAATCATATGGAATTGATCTCATGGAATTTCAGAGTTATTGGATTAGTTATTGTGCAGAATTCGTCTTCAGGTGTGAACTTCCTGTGAGAAGAGTCTCCCAAGTCTTACAACATTTAAGCAACTTGCAAAAATTTGAGTAACTAACCCCCCCCCAGGGGATCTATGAATATTCTATTATTTTATCCATCAAAATGAATTTACAGAATTGAAACACACACGATGTAAACTGAGGAATTGTACCCAGGATAACAAGAGTGCCAGTCACCAGGGAAAAAGAAAGGAAGGAAGGAAGGAAGGAAGGAAGGAAGGAAGGAAGGAAGGAAGGAAGGAAGGAAGGAAGGAAGGAAGGAAGGAAGAAAAAAAATATTTCAAGATAAGGATAGGCAATCTTACCCAGTACTCCACATTTCTAAAAGCAAAACAATGTTATGGTTTACTCTAATAACTCCCATCCAAAATGAATGTTCGATTGATTTGGGTGGGATTTTCAAACAGGCCCTTCAAATCTCAGCCTGATATAATTTCCAGCTGGTGTTCAGTAGTCGTGTAGATGTGAACATTTCTTTCAAATGTTTACAAGGGCCTGGCAATATTAAATCTCAATGCATGTTTGCTTGGGGTCATTTTTGCCCTCTTATCCTCCTCTTCTATTATCCAGGTGTGATGAGACATTAATCCCGGTTTTTTAAGTTGGTTCTAAATAGGATGTCAAGATTTCACACAATGCATTCCTCACCCTCCTGCTCTGCACCCAGGTTTTTTGGTCTGATGGGACTTACCATGGCCTTCTTCCTGTCTGCTCTCCAGCTTGGTGGCCAAGATTAATCTACCACCAAGATGGGCCAGTTATCGTCTTGATTCACCAAGTTTTCCCGGGGGACATGGCAGAGTTGCAAGCAAGCGAGCTTTGTGTCCTTCAACAACTCTTTGTGCAACAGAAAGAGAGACTGAAATGGAACCACAGTTGCAGACTTCCTCTATTCCCCCCCACACCCTTTGCTTAATTCCCCTTCATTTCCGTATTTTGGGTAAGTAAAAAAAAAAAGAGGTTGTGTCCTCGCTTGTCAAAATGAGATGAAATGAGTCTCTTGGAACACCTCTGCTAAAATCAATCCGGATGTATGAAAAAAAAAAAACCAACACTCTTGTTATCATCTTCAGAGAAATGATTCATCAGATATGAAACTTTATCACCAAGGGGGTCCTTTAAAAAAAATGAGGCTGTGCTAATTAACCAGCCTATTAAAAAGGAGTTATTCTCTGAGAAATAACAACAACAACAACAATAATAGAGTTGGAAGGGACCTTGGAGGTCTTCTAGTCCAACCCCTTGCTCAGGCAGGAGAACCTATACCAGTGATGGTGAACGTTTTAGAGACCGAGTGCCCAAACTGCAACCCAAAACCCACTTATGCACCATCGGGTGGGTGTGGTCCATTAGTTGGGTGTGGCCCATTGGTTGGGTGTGGCTCCAGTGGTAACAGCAGACTGGGTGGGACTAAAAAGGTCAATCAATCAATTCCAACTTTACGAGAACTTTTTTTTTCCTGCGAGAAGTTAAAATTGATTGAACCTTTTTTTTTTTGCACACGGCGGCGGAGGCTTAAAGCGAAAAAACCCAGCTGAAAGCCTAGGACTGGGGCGACGGCACGCGTGCCCACAGAGAGGGCTTTGCGTGCCACCTGTAGCACGCGTGCCATAGGTTCTCCACCACGGACCTATACCATTTCAGACAAATGGTTGTCCAGTCTCTTGTTAAAAACTTCCAGTGTTGGAGCATTCACAACTTCTGGAGGCAGGCTGTTCCACTGATTAATTGTTAATTACTAATTAAATGCAGATGGTTTTACTTAAATCCATCCATTTAAGTAATTGAATAAACCTTTTCCAAATATTTGGGGAAAGCAGCAATTTTCAGTGACAGCAGGGGTGGCGGCCGCTGTGCATAAAAGTATCTGGACATTTCAATGCAATTATTTTGTAATACATGATTCCTCCCCCCTCCATGAATTGCATCCATTCTCTTGCAGGATTCTGTTACTATAGGTTTACAATAAAGTTATAGCTGGAATTTGTTGTTGTGCTTCTTTTCTGGACTACCTATAAGGGCAAGCGTTAACCTTGCAAGTCCGAAAGCTCTGCTCACCCTCTTCTTTATTCTTTATGAGAGGGGTCCTCCTGAACTGCTTCTTACACCTCCCTTCCTAAGGTACCTTTTATGTGATGGTTGTCCAGTGTCTGGCTCTGCCTCCTACTTCATAAAGGCATTTGCACATATCACTGCAAGTTCAAACTCTGTTGTCTGAAGAGAAAGAAAACATGTTGTACCAAGGAGGTTAACCAACCTTCAGTCATGGTTTTCATGACCTTTTCTCTAGGCCAGGGGTAGGCAACCTTGGCTCTTTTATGACTCGTGGACTTCAACTCCCAGAATTCCTGAGCCAGCATGGCTCAGTTTGGAAACCTCTCCCTTTCCCCTCAGCGTGGCTGGCTCAGGAATTCTGGGAGTTGAAGTCCACGAGTCATAAAAGAGCCAAGGTGGCCTACCCCTGCTCTAGGCTAACAATCCAACTAATAATCTTAGCTTGCTTCCAGACTCCTGTACACAATAATGATCCCTTTCTGGATGTGTTCCAGAACTAGGCACTATTTAATATTCATCCAGGTAAGGTGCCTGTTGGGGAATGTCAGACTCTGCAAGAGGGTGGACAATCAAACGCCTTTTTCCAAATCAGCAAAATCAGCAAAATATTTACTGGGCCCAACATTTATGTTGCTAAGCAAGAGAGTCGTTAAGTGAGTTCTCAACCATTTTACGACCTTTCTTGCCACAGTTGTTAAGTGAATCATTGTATTCCTCCACTGATTTTTGCTGGTGATTGTAATAAAAAAATATTATTATTACTACAAGAGGGTGGGTAGAGTACTATAATCCAAATCCCACCCCATTTTTTACGTGTATGAGATGTCAACAAATGTATGAAAGAGGTGGAGCTTGGATCAATATGTCTTGCCTGCCATCTTGTAGATTTTGATCCCCATCTGGATGCCACTATGTTTAACCCTATATTTCCTTTACTGTAATTTATTTGTTAGTTGCTTTGATCCTTTAACCTTAACTCTACAGCCTAATATTTATTTTAATCTTACAGCTTAGTGTTAAGTGAAGTTTTCCAAATCTGCCCTTTTCTGTTCTGGAAATTGTAATGTTTATCTTTTTCCATAGTTGAATGAAGGATTCCTAAAAGTCACTATGGATGGGCGGTTCTAGAAATCAGAATTCAGAATAAGTAAACAAATTCAAACTCAGGCTGGTAGGTAGTCCTTTATTATAAAACTCATGCTGTAATTTCTCTTGCCTTTCAAATGCTTTCACCTTGGAAATAAGATTTTAAACAATGTCTATAATAATTATAATAATACATCTCTGTATATTTATATATGAAATTACAAAAAAATCTTTGTTGCAAGAATCAGGACAGAATTCCCTATTTGAGCAGACATAAAATCACAAATTTCATTTAAAACCTCTCTTGTGAATCAGTCAGAATGATTACAAGTAGTCCTCACATACCGAACATAACTGAGATTGGCAGCAAAATTGCTAAGTGCTGGGGTGGCTAAATGTAATTTCATGTGACTGCACCAGAGTATGTCGTTTTTGTTTCCATCATTAAGCGAATCACTGTGGTTGTTAAGTGAGACATCACATGACTACGGCTTGCAATTTCACTTCCACATTTCCATTAATTCTGCTTGACTGAAGTCAGTTGTGAAGCTCGCAAATGGTGATCACAAAGCGGGGGGGGGGGTTTTGGCACTGCAACGGATGTGATTGTGAAGATTAGTGCAAAGCTGTTTTTTCCCAGTGGTTGTAACTTCGAACAGTCACTAAGCAAGGGCGTCAGTAAGCGAAGACTACCTGTATATTGGGAAAATATATATTTGCTTGTACAGGAATGACGTGAGAACGGGAACAATTTTCTTATATTGCAGTACAATCCCAAACTGAACATTAAGAATTTGTCCTCAGGTCGGTTAACACTTCTGAAAAGTCAAAGAATTTTTTATAATAATTGAAAATATTTTCATGTGTATGTGTATGTCTTTTTACCCATTTCTAGTCAATCTAACCTTTGAAATGGATCCGTTTTTTTTTTTTTTTTTTTACTTCAGGTGAAATGCTAAGGGGGAGATAAAAATAAATAGAACAAGATGAGTGAAATTTCACATAATCCTTGCACAATAAACCACTTTCCCAACATATCTGAAAGGTACCAACTCAGGGCGATTTGTTATGTTAATTCTTAGGGTCAGGGGAGCATTAAGGGTTGTCCTCCTTAGATTTATAAGCAATTGAATGCTAGAGACTTCCATGGGGTCCTTTTCATGGATGATGCAGGTATATAGGGACAATTAAACCACATTTCTTATGTGCCTTTGTTGTGCTTTGATCTGAATCCTTCTCTTTAGAGATGCTCTCTGGAAGCATTTCTAAAACAGGAGAGAAGTAGATAAAGCAGCTTTCTGCTTTTGTATCTTTACACCTAGAATACAGGTAGTCCTTGATTTATGTCCACACTTGGGACCGGAACTTCCACGCTAAGTGAGGCAGTTGCTTAGTGAGTTGGGCTCAATTTTACAAGCTTGTTTGTTAAGTGAATCTGGCTTTCCTCATTGGCTTTGCTTGTTGGAAAGTTTGCAAATGGTGATCACATGACCCTGGGACATTGCGACCATCATAAATACATGCCAGTTGCCAAGAGACCAAAGTTTGAGCACGTGACTGGGGTGACATTGCAATGGTCATAAGTGGGAGGACCTACCTATGCACGATGCCAGCAGGATAGAATTCCCTGCAGCAGAATCAATCCTGGCTTACCACCTTTAAAATATGTGATCTAATAAATACTCATTATTATCCAAAGAGTTTTGCCCCTAAGGCTATTTGGTACAAGGTCAACAATTAAAAATGTGCAGATGTATGGATTGATAAAACATTGTGCATACACACACAAACACATTTGCACACACGCAGTCTGAGTCGTGATTAGAGATGGAAAAGAAATTCAAGGGCTAATTCTCTCTTGTGAAAACTGTACTTTTTCTGAGCCATACAGCTTGATGGTCATTGAAAATACTGGAAAATATTTCATTCAGAATGCATCTCTGGAAAGTAATGTAGAAAAACGCAATAGGGGAAATTGCTTCCAAAATGTTATACTTTATACATTTGCAAACAAATGTGGATGTTCAAAGAAATTTAACAAATGTTAGTGTATTTTTTTTTTTAAAAAAACCTCAACATTGTTTGGAAGTCATAAAGTTTACAAATAAAAAAACAGAAAAATGAAAGACAGAAAATGAGTCAAATAAAATTGACCGAATTATAAAAATGAGCATCAGAGAAACTGAAAATTACAGTCTATTTTGATTTTGTCTTATGTATCTTAGCAATATATAATTATCTGCACATATACCATTTTAAAAAATGAAGATTGCTGCTCTATGTGTATTGTGATTCTATTTGTGTAGTATTTGGAAATGCTACAATGGATTGGCAGAACACTACACAAATATAATCAATATAGCGGCACATGACATATTATTTTTTTTTAAAAAGCATTTTATTTTATGTCCATATATAGTAGGAAGATTGATAATAGGGAGGAAAGGTGGATGAATGAAAGCATTTGAAACTATGGTTTATACATGATTTTTTTTAAAAAATGGAAATTAAATTGCATGTGACTCAGAATTCTATTTGAGCAGTATTTGCCTTGAACATTTTTCAATAATAATAAAACATACAGGGCTTTCATACATACACACTCCATGTCACATAAAGAAGTCATTCCTGCAACTAAAACAAAATTAAAAAAAAAACATGGATAATAGAGTTACATCTGAATCAGTAATAAATTTTCTATGGTAGAAAAGAAATGACCACCCTATTACTTAGAATAAAAATAAGCTAAAGTGATGTTACAATGAAATCATAGCACCAATTATTGTTACTCTCAGTTGCAAAGCTAGGGATTAAAGTGAGTGATAAGGGGATGGAAAAATCACAACAAATATCATTGAGACGTGCACCTTAAAAAGAAATCTACATTTGGCACAGATTCAAGGTATTAGCAAACAAATTAAAAACCAGATAAACAATTACCGTAGGATCTTCCTTTCCCCAGATACGTATTTTGGCTGCTAAAATTCACTTTGTGCTAATAAAAGATTGCGACTGAACTTTTTTATATTTGAAAAAAAAAAACTACTAGAATTCCTCACGCCTGTTCCAATGCACGTAAGGAAATTGGGAATACAGAATAACAAGAGTCGGAAGGGAACTTGGAGGTCATTCATTCGTTTTTTCCCTTCTTTTACAAAGCTAAAGCAAGAACAAACTCACAAACCAAGTGGATTTGATGGGATTTCTTGTGTTACGTAGAAGAAAAAATATCAATTATTTCTGTTCTACGGGATTTTTCAACCTTGGGAATTTGAAGGTGTGTAGACTTCAACACCCAGAGTTCTCCAGCTGGCCATGCCAGCCAGCCAGCCAGCCAGCCAAGTACTGGGATTGCATGCTGGCTGGAGAATTCTGGGAACTGAAGTTCCCAAGGTTGAGAAATAATTTTCCCTGCCATTTGGTTATAGCAGGGGTTCTCAACCTTGGCAACTTTAAGACTTGTGGACTTCAACTCCCAGAATTCCTCAGCCAGCAAAGCTGGCTGAGGAATTCTGGAAATTGAAGTCCACAAGTCTTAAAGTTGCCAAGGTTGAGAACCCCTGGGTTATAGGTGTGATTCCATCCACTTCTCTCTTCAGTTCTTTTATCTCTACCCTAATCCATAACCCTGCCAAAGGCTTGCCTGTAAGGCAGCACTACATATGAGGAAATTTCGGGCACTGCTTTTGGGGGCAAAATCTAAAACATGCAGATGGGGTGCTGGTGACTTGAATTTCCTTCCCTGTTGGGCAGTGGAGGTTTATAGTTACGATAGTGCAGTTGGCCAGCAATCATGGTACCCAGCTGTGTAATAAAATAAATACAAATGTTTAGCATTTCAAGTAATGCGCTTAAATGTGCCTTCCCATCCATTCTGTCTCCTTCCTGCCTCTGTGTAGTACATCCTAGCCTGATATGCCACTGTCTGTCTCAGTGCACGTTTCAGCAGTGGTTTAATAGTGGTCCTTAACCAATGGGGAAGATAGATGTTTTCTTTGGCTTTTGGAAGCACCAAAGCCTATGGTGCTGGCTTTTTCACTGATGATCTTGGGGGAAAGAGCAGATGGAGGTGGGGAAAGGGTGCAGCTGACTCTTCCCCTCCTGGGCCTTTCCAGTTTTCCTGCAGTTCCAAATGGACACATATCCGTTTAATGGCCCTGGCAGGTTTTGCAACACATCTGTCGGAAGTATGACCGACTACAGAACTTAGCTTTCAGCACCAAAGGGCAATAGGCAACCTTGTTGACATCTTTGCATTCTGGAGAAGGAAAGGGAGAGAAGGAAAAAGAGAGAGACAGAGAGAAACAATGAATTAATCATTCTGATAGAAGAGAATATTTGTAGCATGGGGCTGAACTGTGGAGTCCTTGGTACTTTCTGTGGTTGTTTGCTTGCAGACATTTTATTACCCAACAAGATGATTTCATCAGTGTGAGTGAGAGTGGGAATTGCTGTCTCTTTATATATGTAGTTGGATAATTTTCCTCAATAAATGAGCAAGTATAACGTTTCTAACTTGTTTAATTGGGTTCTTTTATCTAGTTTGGGTAGAAAAGAACACATTTTAATTAATATTTAGGCAGAAAGTTTGAAAATTCACACAGTTTCACAAACTTTTAAGCACCACTGTAGTTGCCTGCTCTGCCAGTTGTGGTGGGGTGTGGTTTCCTCCTTGGTGGTTCCTTGTTTAGAGTATTGTTTTCTGCCTGATTGTTTGTCTGATGTTCTACTCTTTTATCTTACAGAGATACATTACGTTTACACAGCATTCAAAAGAGATACTGAAAAGTCTAGGAAGGAAACAAAAAGATCAGAACACATTTCCTCCAGCAGTCAACGTACAGATATGCAGGGATTAACACTAGATAAACAATAAGCCAGAAGATGATATATTAATCAAGGAACTACCAAGGAGGAAACCACACCCTAACAAAACTGCAGGGCAAGCTGCAATATATAAAGAGGCACAAACTCCACAATCCCTCACACTGATGATGTTACTTAAATAAGTAATGAAATATTGAAAATTTTCAATTGCACTGAAATGGATAGGCTTAGATGGGAACTCAAGGACAAAAGTGAAACCAAGTACTATAAAATCTGGGAACAATTTTATGATTGGATAGACAATAAGAGGGTAGCCAAGAATAAAATATAGATTATAGACAAATGTATATTTAAAAGATAAATACATATATATATATAGAAATAAGGGAAAAAGTGTTAATAGTATATTATAAATAGTGAGCAAAGTTCAAGAATTATATGTCTATATGAGTACTAATACTATTGTAAAATGTTGGAAGATGTATGGAACCAGTGACGTCATATCTATGTCCAATGTGTTTTTAATTTTGTATTATTAATAAAAAAAGTTTAAAAAAAACTTAAACAACCAACCTTTAACAGCATCAAGAACTCCACAAAACTAATTATTTGTTCATATAACATGCTAAATCTAAGTATAGTTTAATCACAGCTTGGTGACTGAACCATAAGGACAAAGTTCAGATAGAATGCTAAACTGCACATCAAGGATGAACCACCCGAGGTCCTCCAATGCCCTTTTATTACTGGCTTTTAGATGCTTCGGATGCTACTTATATGATGCTACTTATATTACTTGAAACTCTGTGCCTCAGAAAATGAAAAAAGGCCAAATATTCTCCTTTCTCTGATGATATCATCATGTCACACATGCACACACACACACACACACACACACAAAACACACACACAGACTCACCCTCCATTCCTGCAGCCCTTAAATCCTGGGGGGGGGGGACCAACAACTAAAGCAGGGGTATCTAACCTTGGCAGCTTTAAGATGTGTAAACTTAAACTCCCAGAATCCATGCTGGCTAGGGAATTCTGGGAGTTGAAGTCCACATGTCTTAAAAATTGCCAAGGTTGGACACCTCTAAATTAAAGTGTAGCTTTTGGTATGCAAAAAAAGCCTTCATGTCACTGTAATGCTCTGTGGTTAAAAAAAATCAACATGGCTGGATTTTTGGGAACTGCTTGGCAGATCTCCCACTACGCGTTCCCTTCGCCAAAAGTTCCCCAGGCCAAATCCACATTTGGCAGTCTATGGTTTCAGGCTTCTGAGCCACATTGCAGTCCAGAATTCGAACCACAGACTTGAGTCATTCAGCCATTTCAAAAGGTAAGTTCTTTGCTCAGCTTGCAGATCATTCCATGACATATAGAGTACCTTCAGAGTTTTCTGTCAGTCCAGAATCACACTTGCTTTCACACTGTTGCATGGCTGAGGGCTTCAGGGCTTCCACACATTCATTAGATGGTTGTCCTGTGTAGGTCACGCACTGGACAGAACGCCTTTGCTGGCCAAAACTGCACTGCCCAGAACACTTCAGGAAAGAATAAGGTAGATGAAGAAATTGGGCTAAATCAAAATAACAGATCTATTAACGTGAGTTTGAAGCACAGCCTTTTGCTGTGCCTTGAGCGGTGTTTCTCAACCTTCACAACGTTGAAAATGTGTGTCCGTGGAGATGTTCAGTCATCCAGGTCATAGTTGTCTCAAAGGTGCTTGCTTTTTTTTCAAAAGGCAACTGGACTAGGTTATTTCCTTGAGGAAGAAGACCTTTTGCTTCTTATCCAAGAAGCTTCATTAGTTCTGACTGGATGGTGGTGGTGGGGAAATGGAAGGATTAGTTCTGAGTTAATTCAGTTACTTTTGAAAAACAAATGGATCTCAAAGGATTTCACCTTAGATTAAAATCAATCAGCATGGCAGATCAGCTTTAGATCCGCTGAGTCTTTAACACTTTCATCCCCCTCCCTCTCCTTGGCCCTTCCAATTCAAACATGATTAATCTCTGAATGCATAAAAGGCTGATTTGGTGAACTTGCTTTGACTTGTTTCCCTGAAAACATAACTCTTCTTCAGTTACGTTTGACAAAAATGGACCTCAAAGGATATCATCTTATATTAAAACCAATCAGTGTGGCAGATCAGCTTTTGATAGCTTCTTCTCATGGCTCTCTGTCTTGGATTCCCAGCATGCAGTACTATGCCTCTTGAACATTCCAAAGGTGCTTTCCCATGAGGCAACAGGACTTTCTTTTTTCTCTTTGAAGACGTTTCACTTCTCATCCAAGAAGCTTCTTCAGTTCTGACTGGATGGTGGGGAATGGAAGGATTTATACTCCTTGCAGAGAGCTGGTCATTTGCATTCTTTTAGAGACTGAGTGCCTAAACTGCAACCCCAAACCCACTTATTTATCGCCGGGTGCCAGGTGGGCGTGGCCCCACTGGGTGGGCATGGCTGCGGTGGTCATGGCAGATTGGGTGGGAGTGGCCAAGGTGAGCGTGATCACCTCAATGTTGCTCGTGGGGAGGGACATCTGTGGGAGCCGGGCAGGGTTGGGGGAGATCCAGGGGGTCTCTGGCAGGTGGGGCAGTGGGCAGGAGGCTCGTCCTGCGGGGTGAGGCAAGGCAAGGCAGGGCAGGGCAGGGTGCCATTGTCATAGGGAAAGGTGAGGCAGTGGTCGGGGCGGCTGCTGCCTGACACCATCAGCCCCTGCACACAGAAGCCAGTGAGCGCATGGGTGCTGGGATGCATCTGGCCATGTGGGACCTCGGCGAGTTAGCGGGCGGCTGGTTGAAGAGGGACAGTTGCCATCTCTGGGCATGGCGTGCATGCCCACAGAGAGAGCTCAGTGCCACCTCTGGCACATGTGCCATAGGTTCGCCACCACTGTTTTAGAGAGTCGTTGAGGCCACCTGGAGGCTTATCTGTGTCGTTGGGGTCACCTGAGTGGTGCAAATGGGTGTGGAGTCTTCTTGGAACTGTTGAAAGGACTGTGTTGTAGACTGGAGATACAACCCAGGAATATAAATCTTTCCATTCCCCACTATCCAATCAGAGCTGAAGAAGCTGCTTGTGTCAACCCTGCAAATATTATATATTCTTGCTTTTGACAATATGCAGAATTGTCTGGTAAATATGGGGTTAATAAAGAGCAGAAGGGGCGTTGGGAGTAAAGCCGGGGAAAGAAAGAGGAAGAAAACATTTGACCTTCACACTAATTGGATAGTGTGAGATATGGCGGCTAATTTAGGGAGGGAACAAGCTGATAATTTAACTGCTCAGAGAACTTAGATCCTAGCATCCCTCCGTTGTGCCTGGGCCGACATTTTGTAACAATAAAAGACTTTTAGGAAAATAAATGCCTGGAAGTTCTTTGGAATGTTTCATTAACTGGAACCACAACAGCTTGGATGAGACGTGAAACGTCTTCAAAGTGAAAAAAGAGAGCCCAGTTGCCTCGTGAAAAAGCACCTTGGGGACAATGATGACCTGGATGACTGAGAATCTCCATAGACATGCCTCTTGAACCATGATTGACCAATGCTTTAAAACTGTAGGAGAAAAAATAAACTTTGTGTACCTCTCCCCATTCACCAGTGACCCACCGCGGGGGTGGACAGCGCCGAAGACTACACCTTATGGTGTTTGGGGGTCTAGAGCTCTCACGACACTGGGAGGTAGACAGTGTGGCACGATGGTCACCACTTTTGCAAAGGACAATGCGATGACGGAAACCAGGTCCACAATTCGGAGTGCACTACAAGGAAGGAAAAAGTTGAAATTCATTTATTGCAGTGGTTCTCAACCTTTTTAATGCCGCGACCCCCAACCGGTCATAAGTCAAGGACTACTCAACTGGTCGTAAGTCGTGGACTACTCAACTGGTGCAGCACCGTTTGCAGAATGGGACTTTTGGCGGGCTCAGCAGGGCAGAGATAGCCTGGACACTTCCTATTGGCTTTGGAAAGCCAATAGAATTAGACTCTATTCAAGAGAGTCTATTCTATTGGCTTTCCAAAGCCAATAGAATAAAAGGGAGTAGCACAGCTAAGGAAAAGGGGAAAAATGGCGGACTGTGTTGTTTGGCGACCCCCGTGAAATGGTCGTTCGACCCCAAATGGGTTCCCGACCCACAGGTTGAGAACCACTGATTTATTGGTTGTGATTTATTGCATTTCCTCTGCTGTTTTACAATCTCTGGTGTAGTGGAAAATAAATCACTTAAATCGTCTTGGGTGTGGATGTTCTGATTTTACACCAAGTCTGGCAGGAAGTGGAATCTAGTGCATTGTTTGTTTCCCGCTGGAGCCAGCAAAATTATTTTATAACGCAAACATTGGTGGACATGAACCTAATATCTAATACACATGGCACTTGAGGACAACTCAGAGGCTTTCTAAAAGTTATTTGTTATTTATTCATTAGATTTATAGCCTGTGTGTCTTCCAAGACCTCAAAGTAATGTACAATTTCTCCCTCCTCCTCTTCGCAACAACCCTCTGAGATAATTTGGGCTGGGAGACAGAATGGTTGCCCCCAAAATCATCCGAAGAACTTTATGGACTTGAACAAGGATCAACATAACTTTGGTCAATTATCTTATGTCAGTGGTTCTCAACCTTTTCTTCACCACGGACCCTCTTTAAATACCTTTTGTGACCACAGACCATGTCCACAGACCCCCCCCCCCCGACTTAAGATTTAAATCAGTGGTTCTCAACCTTTTTAATGCTGTGACCCCAACTGGTCGTAAGTCAAGGACTACTCAACCGGTCGTAAGTCGAGGACTACTCAACTGGTGCAGCACCGTTTGCAGAATGGGACTTTTGGCGGGCTCAGCAGGGCAGAGACAGCCTGGACAATTCCTATTGGCTTTTGAAAGCCAATAGAATTAGACTCTATTCAAGCGAGTCTATTCTATTGGCTTTCAAAAGCCAATAGAATAAAAGAGAGTAGCGCAGCTAAGGAAAACGGGAAAAAAATGGCGGACTGCGTTGTTTGGCGACCCCCATGAAATGGTCGTTCGACCTCAAATGGGGTCCCGACCCACAGGCTGAGAACCATTGATTTAAATCATAACATTTCTTCAAGACTTCGTGGACCTGTGATGACATTGCCCCTCCCTCCAACCGTGGACCACAGGTTGAGAACCATTGTCTTATGTACAGCATCTACTTCAATCCAAAGCGCCTTGGCTATTACTGGAGTTATGGATGGTAAGCATGGTGTGTGCCATTTTGCTCAAATAATTATTGCGAGCCATAGCAGCAAGCTATTCCTGAGATGATCAGATCTAGTAGCCTGGCTTCTTCTCATCCTAACTAGTGTAGTGTGCAAGATAGAACTGCTCTTGAAATATGTTCAAGAACTGTAAGTGCACAAACAAGACCAGTGTTTTTCAGTCTTAGCAGTTTTAAGTAGGCTGACTGAAGGAATGAGTTGCTCCGTACATCTTAAAAGTTCTAAGGTTAAGAAACATGGGACAGTTAGCCGCTACAAGGTACAGATCTATTAGAATGCCTGGTACAAGTAGTCCTTGACTTACAACCATTTATTTACCATCCACCTGCAGTTACAACAGCACTGAAAAAAGGTGACTTATGATCAGTCTCTGCATTTATGACCATTGTTGCATCCCCACGGTCACATGATCAAAATTTGGGCACTTGGCAACCAACGTAATTTTACAACAGCTGTGTATTCCAGGGTCACGTGATCACCATTTGCAACTTTTCCAGTCGGCTTCCGAAAAGCAAAATCAGTGGAGGAAACTGGATTCATTTAACAGCTGCAGTGATTCACTGTAGAACCTTGGCAAAAAAAGGTTGTAAAATCAGGCACGACCCACTTAACAACTGCCTTGCCTAGCACTGGAGATTCCGGTTCCAATTGTGGTTGTACGTTGAGGACTGCCTGTACTGGAATTCTCTCCTGGTTGTCAATTAGGGGGCACAACTGAAGGGAACAACAACAATAAAGTTGGAAGGGACCTTGGAGGTCATCTAGTCCAACCCGCTGCTCAGGCAGGAAACCATATATCATTCAGACAAATGGCTGTCCAGGGTCTTCTTAAAAACTTTCAATGATGGAGCATTCACCATTTCTGGAGACAGGTTGTTCCACTGGTTAATTGTTCTAACTGTCAGGAAGTTTCTCCTTAGTTCTAAGTTGCTTCTCTCCTTGGTTAGTTTCCATCTGTTGCTTCTTGTCCTGCCTTCAGGCGCTTTGGAGAATAGCTTGACTCCCTCTTCTTTGTGGCAGTCCCTGAGATATTGGAACACTGCTATCATGTCCCCCCTTGTCCTTCTCTTCGTTAAACTAGACATACCCAATTCCAGCAACCGTTCCTTATATGTTTTAGCCTCCAGTCCCCTAATCATCTTTGTTGCTCTTCTCTGTACTCTTTCTAGAGTCTCAACCTCTTTTTTACACCATTGAATTTCATTTTGTTAGTTAGCGCCCAGGTCTGTCAAGATCCTTCTGTATCTTAAGCTCTCTTCTGGAGTATTGACTATTCCTGCCAGCTTGGTGTCGTCTGCAAATTTGAGAGTTCCCCATCTGTCCCCTCATCCAGATCACTGATGAAGATGTTGAAGAGCACTGAGCCCAGAACAGAGCCCTGGGGCACCCCACTACACACTTCCCTCCATGTAGATGCAGTTCCATTGAGGACCACTCGCTGAGTACAGCCAGTCAGCCAGCAACAAATCCATCGGGTGGTGATGCTGTCTAACCCACATTTTTCTATCTTATCAAGTAGTAGGTTGTGGTCTATTTTAACAAATGCCTCTGGTCTACTAATTTTGTCACCTGGTCATAGGATACAATAAGATATTGTATTGGCATGATCTGTTGACCTTTAAAGTCCTAAGGTGCTTAGAAGTGACTATCCAAGAGACAGAATTCTCTTGTCCTGAACCTGTTCAACTGTTAAGATTTGAAGAGGCTTTTCTGCTTTCTAGGAACCATCTTTCTTGCCCACATGGGAGAGGATTCTGCACTGCTCCCAAACTGTGTAACATTCCCTTAGGAAAAGTCAGGTAGTCCTTGACTTATGACAATTGAGCCCCAAATTTCTGTTGCTAAGCAAGACAATTGTTAAATGAGACGCACCTCCTTTTACACCCTTTTTTGCCATAGTTGTTAGGCCATGGGTAGGCAACCTTGGCTCTTTTATGACTCGTGGACTCCAACTCCCAGAATTCCTGAGCCAGGAATTCTGCGAGTTGAAGTCCACGAGTCATAAAAGAGCCAAGGTTGCCTTCCCCTGTTAGGCGAATCACTGCAGTTGTTAAGTGAATCATTTGGTTGTTAAGCAAATCTGGTTTCCTCCATTGACTTTGCTGGTCAGAAGCCAGCTGGGAAGGTTACCAATGGTGATCACGTATGTCATAAATACATACCCGTTGCCAAGCAACCAAATTTTGGTCATGTGACCATGGGGATGCTGCAACCCTCATTAGTGTGAAAACTGGTCATCAGTTACTTTTTTCAGTGCTGTTGTAACTTTGAACGGTCATAAAGAAATGGTTGTAAGTCAAGGACTACCTGAATGTAACTCCCTACACTTGCTGCCTGTTGGGTATTTGTGAAGATGCAGCCGTTATTCCAGGCTTTTGTTACTTCCCTTAGTATTGATAGCATTCAGTTTTTCTCTTTTCTCTTCTACTTTTTATTTCTGTAAGTCAGTGGTGGCGAACCTATGGCACGCATGTCAAAGGCGGCACTCAGAGCCCTCTCTGTTGGCACGCATGCCACCACCGCCAGCAGCAGGTCCATCAGGCCACCACTGCCACCCGGAGCAGAAGCCCCACCCAGCACAAAGGAGGCGAAGCAGCCAACTAGCAAGCTCGAGTAGAAGTGGTAGAGCAGATTGTCGATTGGTGGATTGGTGGACTGGAAGAAAAAGGAGGGGGAAGCATTTTACATGCGTGCATGAGCACATGGGGCCGCGAGCATTGACATACTGCAAATGGGGTGGGGCTAGTGCCTGCACGATACTCACTAGCCCTGCCCCGTTCTTATGTGGTGCAGCACCTTGTATCTGCACCCCTTGGCGTGGTGGCGGCCATTTTTGCGCCTTGCAGCATGGTGGCCCATTTTTGTGCCCCTGGTTTTTGCGTGCCAGAAGTAGCACTCAGAAGACCCTCCCTGCCCCTCCTGAGGGCACCACTATGCTGATGCGGCCCTGGCACTTTGCAATAAATAAGTGGGGTTTGGGTTGCGGTTTGGGCACTCAGTCTCTAAAACAGTGGTTCTCAACCTGTGGGTTGGGACCCCATTTGGGGTCGAACGACCATTTCATGGGGGTCGCCAAACAACGCAGTCCGCCATTTTTCTCCCTTTTCCTTAGCTGTGCTACTCCCTTTTATTCTATTGGTTTTTGAAAGCCAATAGAATAGACTCTTGAACAGAGTCTAATTCTATTGGCTTTCAAAAGCCAATAGGAATTGTCCAGGCTGTCTCTGCCCTGCTGAGCCCGCTAAAAGTCCCCTTCTGCAAATGGTGTTGCACCAGTTGAGTAGTCCTTGACTTACGACCGGTTGAGTAGTCCTCGACTTACGACCGGTTGGGGGTCGCGGCATTGAAAAGGTTGAGAACCACTGCTCTAAAAGGTTTGGCATCACTGCTGTAAGCTGTCTGTTGAGCAGAAATTTAGAGAAAAACTAAACCAATTGTTGACAAATGGACTGACTGATGACTGAATGAATGTACGAATAAAATTGGAAGACTGCTAGACTGAGAAAGAGAAGGTCATTACCTCAGACCAATCCAGGGCTACCCATTCTGGAGGACATGTGTGATTATTACAGGGTTCCAGCACATGAGGCCGTGGCAGGTTGCAAGAGGAATCATCCAGAGTTTTCTCCTCCGTGGTGGAGATTTTGCGCTGACAGATCACACTTCGGGTCCGCACTCCCTGATTGCAGCTGCGACTGCATTCGGACCAGTTCCCGATCACCCAACTAGTTGAGATGGGAAACAGAAAGCAAAATAAGGGCTTCGTTAAAATTAACCCTGCCTAAATTTGAAACTCATTGCACTTTTAGATAATGTAATGGGTGATAGTGTGGGATGGGCACTCCAAAAATGAATAATAATAATAATAATAATAATAATAATAATAATAATAGTAATAATGTTGAAAGGGACCTTGGAGGTCATCTAGTCCAACCCCCTGCTCAGGCAGGAAGCCCTATACCATTTCAAACAAATGGCTGTCCAGTCTCTTCTTAAAAACTTCTAGTGTTGGAGCATTCACCGCTTCTGGAGGAAGGTTGTCCCACTGGTCAATAGATTTAACTGCCAGGAAATTTCTCCTTGGTTCTAGGTTGCTTCTCTCCTTGATTAGTTTCCATCCATTAATTGACCTGACCAGCTATCTCCCACAGTCTTAAATTTAGCTTTAAATAATCTAATCTTCATTTAATTCATTTAATTTCCCCGACTGTCTGATGTAATGGATTCTTCTCATTGGGAGGATACACAACATATCCTTGCCTCAAGATTCACTTTGCAGCTGCCAAAAAAGCCAACACAGTGCTGGGCTGCATTAACAGAGGGATAGAATCAAGATCATGTGAAGTATTAATACCACTTTACAATGCCTTGGTAAGGCCACACTTGAAACACTGCATCCAGTTTTGGTCACCACGATGTAAAAAAGATGTTGAGACTCTAGAAAGAGTACAGATAAGAGAAACAAAGATGATTAGGGGACTGGAGGCTAAAACATATAAGGAACAATTGCTGGAATTGGGTATGTCTAGTTTAACGAAGAGAAGGACTAGGGGGGACATGATAACAGTCTTCCAGTATCTCAGGGGCTGCCACAAAGAAGAGGGAGTCAAGCTATTCTCCAAAGCACCTGAAGGCAGGACAAGAAGCAACGGATGGAAATTAATCAAGGAGAGAAGCAACCTGGAACTAAGGAGAAACTTCCTGACAGTTAGAACAATTAACCAATGGAACAACCTGCCTCCAGAAGCAGTGAATGCTCCAACACTGGAAGTTTTCAAGAAGAGACTGGACAGCCATTTGTCTGAAATGGTATAGGGTTTCCTGCCTTTGCAGGGGGTTGGACTCGATGACCTCCAAGGTCCCTTCCAACTTATTATTATTATTATTATTATTATTATTATTATTAATTATTATTATTATTACAATTGAGTCGGAAATTTCTACTGCTAAGTGAGATATTTGCTAAATGAGTTTTGCTCCATTTTATCATCTTTCTTGCCACAGTTGTTAAGTGAATCCCTGCATTCGTTAAGTTATTAACACGGTTGTTAAGTGAATCTGGCTTTCTCATTGACTGCTTGTGAGGAGGATGCAAAAGGTAATCACATGACCCCGGGACACTGCAACTGTCATAAATACATGCCAGTTTCCAAGTGCACGAATTTTGACCATATGACCACAGGGAAGCTGCAACTGTCCTCAGGGTGAAAAACGGCCATAAGTCACTTTTTTCAGTGTCATTGTAAGTTTGAACAGTCACTAAATAAATTGTTGTAAATTGAGGACTACCTGTACTTTGCAGAAATAGGTAAGAGGCAGATATGGGTCCTCTGAGTCTATATGGATTTGTGTGGACATCAAATGCACACAGTGGAGTCCACCCCTTAATTATCTACTCTGTAGTTCAGAAATAAGAGGAAAAGGATGTAGGGTAGGAACTGATAGTTCTTCTTTGCAGGGGCTGGAGAATGAAAATGATGGATGCCAATACACATGCACAAACACACAAACACACACACAGAGAGAGAGAGAGAGAGAGAGAGAGAGAGAGAGAGAGAGAGAGAGAGAGAGAGAGAGAGACATTATATGCTGCTGGTACATAATGATGTGTTTGCTATCTGGATGGGGGGGCAGTGGTGGGATTCAGCCGGTTCGCACCAGTTTAGCAGAACCGGTAGCTAATTTTTTGTCACCCAGGCCTAGAATGGACTTCCAGAAGCAGCATCCACACAGAGAACCGGTTGTTCACATATTTGAATCCCACCACGGTGGGGGGGATAATCCCTAAGTCCTCTATTAGCCCATTTGAATCAATATTTTATTTCTCCCAGTTCCTCTGGCTGTTCACAAACAAGACATGGAGAAATGCTATTCCCCTGCAACTAGGCTTGAAGGCAATCTACCCCCAGTGCACAGGTAACATTGACTCTCCAGGGCTAACACATCCGGATGAACCTGTCCTCCCTGAATTTACCCAATCTTCTTTTAAAACCATTCAAGTTACTGGCCATCTCCACATCTTGTACTAATGAATTCCATAGGGCAGCGGTTCTCAACCTGTGGGTCGCGACCCCATTTGGGGTCGAACGACCATTTCACGGGGGTCGCCAAACAACGCGATCCGCCATTTTTTTCTGGGACGGCGCATGGGGCGACGCCGCGCAGGGGGGCGACGCCGCGCATGCGTGCCGTGCAGGGGGCGTCGCATGGGCCGCCGCCGCGCATGCGCACCACGCAGGGGGCGATGCATGGGGCGATGCCATGCATGCGCACCATGCATGGGCGCTGCATAGGGCGATGCCACGCATGCGTACCGCGCAGGGGGGCACCAGGCATGCGCACCGTGCAGGGGGGGCACCACGCATGCGCACTGTGCAGGGGGGGCACCACGCATGCGCGCCGCCTGCTTAATACCGGGGTCGCCGTATAAAAAGGTTGAGAACCACTGCCATAGGGGAACAGTGCATTGTGTGAATAACTATTTTGGATTGTTTGTTCTAAATGCCCTTCCAATCGGCTTCATTGAATGAATAAACCTCAGTCCTGGAGTGAGAGCCAGAGCAAAAACCCTCCCTATCCACACCATGCATTGTTTTATATTCCTTAATTCACTGCTTCTGGAGGCAGGTTGTTCCACTGGTTAATTGTTCTGACTGTAAGGAAATTTCTCCTTAGTTCTAGGTTGCTTCTCTCCTTGATTAGTTTCCATCCGTTGCTTCTTGTCCTGCCTTCAGGGGCCTTGGAAAATAGCTTGACTCCCTCTTCTTTGTGGCAGCCCCTGAGATATTGGAACACTGCTATCCTGTCCCCCCTCGTCCTTCTCTTCATTAAACTAGACATACCCAATTCCAGCAGCCGTTCCTTATATGTTTTAGCTTCCAGTCCCCTAATCATCTTTGTTGCTCTTCTCTGTACTCTTTCTAGAATCTCAACCTTGGTGACCAAAACTGGATGCAGTATTCCAAGTGTGGCCTTACCAAGGCATAGTAAAGTGGTATTAACTCTTCACATGATCTGTTAATGCAGCCCAGCACTGTGTTGGCCTTTTTGGCAGATGCAGCACACGGCTGGCTCCTATTTAAGTGATTGTCCTTTAGGACTCTAAGATCCCTCTCACAGTTACTACTATTGAGCAAGGTACACCCTGTACTATATCTATTTGGTTTTTCTTGCCTAAATGTAGAACCTTACTTTTTCACCCCTAATTTCATTTTGTTAGATTCTTCTCCCCTTGCTGCTTTGTCCTGTACAGAAGGGGTCTCAACCTTGGCAACTTTAAGACTTGTGGACTTCAACTCCCAGAATTCCTCAGCCAGCAAAGTCCACAAGTTTTAAAGTTGCCAAGGTTGAGGACCCCTGCGATACAGCCCCCACCCTTAATCATCAGTCCCTTTTGGCAAGAGCTCCTACACATCCCCGTTTAGATGCAGCCCTCCAAATTCGGGAAAGAATTAAACTCACGTTGGCGGGCATGGCTCAGTGTTACATGACCGCGGCCTCTCTGGTAGCTTGGTTTCAGGGTTGCAGAAATGATTAAGCACCGTGGAGCTGTCAGCTTGATTCCTGCATACAACAGGTTGAACTTGACTGCCTGTGGGTTGATGGGGAAGGCTGAGTGAGGATGCAAAATCTCCAACATTAGAAAAGGGTAGGGTTTTTTCTTTCTTTCTTTCAATATCCAGAACATTTCCTAATCAAATGATATGCCTTTGAAGACCAGAAAGCACTTTGCCCAACCCCAGAATTTTGTTTTTAAAGGTCTGCAGACAGTGAGTATTGTGCTATAAAGTGGGCACAGATACATTCAGTTGGGTAGATCTGATGTTTTTGAGAAATTGATATTAATTCAAGTTTCTCGATTTCTAGAAGAAACTCAAGACTGCCCTGCTTGATTTATTTTACAAGAAGGGAAAAGGATTTTTGCAAGACTATCAAGGTTCTATTATTAGACCTGTTAACAATAAAGTAGAATTACTACTTTAAAGCACTGACAAAAAGAGACTGGATGTGGTTGAGCATGGTTTAATTGGTCTTCCTGTCCATTGCAACATTTGGATTCTTATAGTTCCTTACATATCTGATTCTGTGATTCTAAGTATTGGGTGTCTTCCAACAACTCATCAAAATATTCTTAATATAGACACAGAACTTGTAATACATGCTATAAGAAACACTGAGAACAAAACTGAAAGCTGAACTGGTTAAAATGGAAATAGGAATTATTTAGTGCACCAAGATGCAACTGAATGGGTTCATTCCGTGGTTATAGTTCAACAGAAAGAGGAAAGGCTGATCATTTGCTTGGACCTCAAAGAATTAAATAAATTGAAAGACACCATTATGACATTCCAAGAAAAATGTGATAGACATGAAGATATTTTCCAAGCTTGATGCACCAGAGTTTTTGCACATATTATTGAAACATGTTTAATACATCATATGGTTAATATAGATTGCATGCTCTTTGGTCTGCATTTTGCTTCTGAAATGTTATATTATATCATGCAATAACTGGTAGAAATACATGGGGTACATGAACATTTGCGTGGGGTCACAGAGAAAGAACATGATAATTGATTAACACTAGCACTTAGGCTTATATACCATTTCATAGTGCTTTACAGCCCTCTCTAAGCGGTTACAGAGTCAATATATTCCCCCCCCCCAACAATCTGGGTCCTCATTTTATTGACCTCAGAAGGATAGAAGGCTGAGTCAACCTTGAGCTGGTCTGGAGTGAACTCCTGGCAGTGGGCAGAGTCAGTCTGCAACACTGCATTTTAACCACTGTGCCACCCCAGCTCTGGCATTGTAAAAGGTTACGTCCCTACGTACCAATTGAACAAAAGCAAATCTTGTTTTAACATTAAATATATATATCTGGGAGAAATACTAACAAAAAAAAGCACTAAACCAGACCTGGTTAGGGTAAAGCCCATTGTAGATATGCCAGAAAGAGGTTCAGAGAATCATATGAATGGTAAATGATGCCTTGAAATTCATTCTGAGTCTAGTTGCATACATCACAAAATTGAGGGCATTATTTTGTGAAGATGCCATTTGACACATTTGACTTCTGCACAGGACACAGGATATCCAGATGCTATTGTACAAGTTATACAAAGTGTACATATAATCAAGAAGCTGAGCAGTATGATACTTAATGTATGGTCTTTAATTGTGATAGGTTGATTGCTTGTTTGTTGTCTGATGGTAGTTGCCATCATTAGACTACATCGTTATACAAAAAGTGTAAGCTACTACTTTGTAAAAAAAAAATCTGTCCTTTTTTCAAGGTGAAAATACGAGAAGGAGAAAATTGTAAAACGTTTTAAGAAAATTTCTTTTGCAATCTTTAACTATCAGTAACCACCAATTGTCAATATTCTACTTGTTGTTAGCTTTCCTTCTTACTTTCTCGGGATCATTAAACTCTCACCTCCAGCACAAATGGCAGAACACTTTGTCCATGAGACATACTGCCATAAATATTGGGCCATGGAATTGCGAACGATGGGTGCGTTGAACTTGTATCGGATCCTCTGCAATTCTTCTCGCACAAGAACCTATAACAATAGAGAGGCAACAGTATCACAGAACTGTTGAAAGAACACACATCCATTTGTTGCAGGAGGAAATGAGACGGCAGTGATGTTAATTTTCACTGCTTCTTCTATTCACTTACACTTGAGGTCTCGACAACTATGCTATTACAAATCTCTAGTGACCCCATTCAAAGAAAGATTGCCGTCTGGGTGTGAAAACATACACACAGCCAAACCCATTTTGCTAGATCAGTGGTTCTCAACCTGTGGGTCGGAACCCCATTTGGGGTCGAACGACCATTTCACAGGGGTCGCCAAACAATGCAGTCCGCCATTTTTTTCCCCTTTTCCTTAGCTGTGCTACTCCCTTTTATTCTATTGCCTTTTGAAAGCCAATAGAACAGACTCTCTTGAATAGAGTCTAATTCTATTGGCTTTCAAAAGCCAATAGGAATTGTCCAGGCTGTCTCTGCCCTGCTGAGCCCGCCAAAAGTCCCATTCTGCAAACGGTGCTGCACCAGTTGAGTAGTCCTCGACTTATGACCGGTTGAGTAGTCCTCGACTTAAGACCGGTTGGGGGTCGCGGCATTAAAAAGGTTGAGAACCACTGTGCTAGATGATAGCAACTATGAGTTGATATTATTAAATGCGGTAGTTATGTGTGTATCTAGATCAGGGATGTTCAAACTTGGCAGCTTTAAGACTTGTGGACTTCAACTCCCAGAATTCCTCAGCCAGTATGGCTGGCTGAGGAATTCTGGGAGCTGAAGTCCACAAGTCTTAAAGCTGCCAAGTTTGAACATCCCTGATCTAGATGAACACTTATTACATTTCTGGTCTGTGAGCTACTAGTTTGCTGCCAAGTTATATTCAAGGTGCCGGTGATGATTTATACAGCCCTGAATGGCATATGGGCTGGGATATTTGAGGGAATGCCTCATCCCAATCACATCTGTCCCATCAGGTCTGGCATCAAGGGCATGTTGCAGGTCCCAACCGTGAAGGAATGTCATCTGAAGAGACCCAGGAGCTTTTTCTGTTGCCTCACCTGCTCTTTGAAACATAACAGCCCTGAGGTCAGGTTGGCCCTGACCTTATTGGCTGTAATGGGGTGTAGAAAAGACCTTGGGGAAGAGTTGATGATGAGGTATAGTCAGATAAAAGAGGCCCACAGCTGCATAATGGGCAGAGAAAGGGGTTCAGAAGGGACCCTCCCTCCCCCCCAAGCTCTGAGGTTGTAAAGGAGATGGTGGGAGAATTGTACTTTTAGACCAGTGTTTCCCAACCTTGACAATTTTAAGGCACGTGGACTTCAACTCCCAGAATTGGGAGTTGAAGTCCACGTGCCTTAAAATTGTCAAGGTTGAGAAACACTGTTTTAGACTTCCCAGGTGGACCAGACAGGAAAAATGACCAGATGAGTTAATTCTACTTTACTGTAAGACTGCAGTAATGGAATTTTGCAAGTCTGGATGTACAAATCTCCTGCACTTTCTTTTACAGCCTACGAACTTGTTTTTGGGAGGAGAGGCTTCTGAGCTTCTTTCTCTGCCCATTATGCAATTGTAGGCAATGCCCTTTCTTGTCTGACCATTCCCCCCTCTTTCCCCTTGCCCTGTAAGGTCATTCCCACATATTATTACATCGGCCTTCTGATAGAGGCTGAAGATCTGGCTTTGCCATTCGGCCTGGGGATCCAGTGATGTTGGGGGAGAGCCTGTTAGGAAAATGAATGGCGCTCTCTCACAGAGCAACAAAGATGATCAGGGGACTGGAGACTAAAGCATAAAAGGAATGGTTGCTGGAATTGGGTATGTCTAGTTTAATGAAGAGAAGGACGAGGAGGGACATGATAGCAGCGTTCCAATATCTCAGGGGCTGCCACAAAGAAGAGGGAGTCGAGCTATTTTCCAAAGCACCTGAAGGCAGGACAAGAAGCAACAGATGGAAACTAATCAAGGAGAGAGGCAACCTAGAACTAAGGAGAAATTTCCTAACAGTTAGAACAATTAATCAGTGGAACAACCTGCCTCCAGAAGTTGTGGGTGCTCCAATACTGGAAGTTTTTAAGAAGACCTCCAAGGTCCCTTCCAGCTTTATTATTATTATTATTATTATTATTATTATTATTATTATTATTATTATTATTATTATGTACTTTTTACAGTTTTAAAATTTTTAATTCTTTTTTATGTTTTAATAACTTTCACAGTTATAATTTTGATTGTTTTTTTTCTAATTTATAATTTTGTAAGTCACCCAAAGTCACAGAAGTAAGGTAGATGGCTCTATGAATATAACAAAGAAACAAATAGATTGACAGCTATAGATGAGAAATATATAGCATACTAATCACAAGGCAATCTTATCTCCTCAGTGATCTTTATAAAAAGCTGCTCTGAAACAGATTTAGGTCACTTGGATAATTCTAACCTGTGGAAAAAGGAGTCACGTCAATGAACAGTCCCTCATCTCTTTCACAATTTAAATTTATCAAGTGAGGCCCTCTTGCTCAAACTGAATAAAGCTTTTTTGTCAAATTAATATTTCCTCTCCCCATCCCTTGTTTTGGCCCAACATTATAACTAACCATAACAATCAGGGTGATGTTAGTTGGGCCCAGGGCCTCGAGTGACTCTGGTTCATCCTGAGAGCGCCCGTAGTGGAACGTGGTTCCAGCAATGTCAAAGCGCCGAGGAGGGTCGATCGAAAGTTTCCCGTTGACAAAATACTCGTCGTTTTCTCCTCTCAGAGCTGGAAGAAGAAGCCAAAAGACAATGTTTCAAGCTGATAGGCGGTCTGCTAAAACGAAGCAAGGCTATGGCATGCCCTTGAAAGAAAACCGGGGAGCCTGTAATTGTGGAGGCAAGAACAAAGAATGCGTAACCTCAGGGAATATGCAGTTGTGGCATTTGTGTCAATTCTAGGTGGTTAAGGGACTGATAACAGTATCAAAGGGTTAGACATCCTGTATACCTCAGCAAGAAGTTAGGAATAGGGATGGCCTGGACTGGAGCAAATAGAATGTGTATTAAATAACTCTCGGAGCATTCATTAGCCAAGGTTTAGGAATAGGGACGGCTAGAGAACAATAGGACAATTGTTAGATCACTATTAAAATGTTTATTAGATGATTTGCTTTATATATCCTGCCTTATCCCACCTCCTGCTTTAGTGAAAATGCTTAAAGCTTTTTTTAATTCTATTGCTCAAGGTTCCTTGGCATTTTCTAGCTAGGACCCCTTTTCCTGGAGCGCTTCAATAAAAGGAAATGAAACCGGCACCTCATGTCTGGTGTTTGCTATTGGCTTTGGCACCAGGCTCAGACCCGAATTGGGGATAACAAAGCCAAGCCTCCGGCAGACCAAACCAGATGGAACACCCACCTCCCTCCTTGCAATATTACTAATCAGTTCAAGTGCTTAGAGCAGTGATGGCAAACCTTTTAGAGACCGAGTGCCCAAACTGAAACTCAAAACCCACTTATGTGTCATCGGGTGCTGGGTGGGTGTGGCCCATTGGGTGGGCGTGGCTGCGGTGGTAACGGCAGACTGGGTGGGACTAAAAAGTTCAATCAGTCAATTCCAACTTTGCAAGATCTTTTTTTTCCCCACGAGAAGTTGAAATTGACTGATTGATTGAATCTTTTTTTTTTTTGTACACGGCGGCAGAGGCCTAAAGTGAAAAGGTTTTATAAAACCCAGCTGAAGGCCTAGGATTGGGGCGATGGTGCACGTGCCCACAGAGAGGGCTCTGAGTGCCGCCTCTGGCACCCGTGCCATAGGTTCGCCACCGCTGGCTTAGAGCCTACATTTGGGGACGCAGGCCTCTCCTGATGCCTAAGGCTTATGCAGGCAAGCCATCTGCAGGGAAGAACAGCAGCAGTGGTGATTCAGGAACTGGCAGGTTATACTGTATCTCTGTTAGGACTGAGATTTAGGGTGCAGGAATATCAATAACCACTAATGGCAGCAAAGAATAACAGTATTCTGAATATCTTTGCTACCACCTAGTGGTTGCCTAGGTGGCATGCACTGAAGTTGGTAGCTGCCTTACTTCATAGTCTCATCTGCTCTGCCCACCCCCATAGTGCCAACCAAAGAAATTTTTTAGGTCCTTTATGAGCATGCCTCAGTAAGCCACAACCAGGTTTACTTTCTGAAGACCTGACCAGGGTTAGGGCTAGGGTTAGACATTAAAAATTACAATACAATGTCAACTGAGGGTGGAAGTTCATTCTCCAAGCTTGTGGGTTGGTTTCTGAACGTTCCGTTACCAGGCTAGTTAACATCTTCAGCAGAACTTAGGGAATGTTCTTCTGCTTATAAGGGCTTCATTTGGCCAGTAGGTCTTGTGATGGTAAGGTCACGTCAGGTGAGGGTCATATCAGGCCAGGGTCTTGTCAGGGTGTGGGATGTGTCAAGTGAGGGTCTTGGGATGGGTCTCATGATGGGTCAGATATGGGTCACAAGTGAGGTGAGGTGTGAGGGATCCATACCTGACCCATCACGAGACCCATCACGAGAACCTCACATGACACATCCCACACCTGACCCATCACAAGATCCTGACCTGACGTGACCTTGCCATCACAAGACCTACTGACCACATGAGTCCTTATAAGCAGAAGAACATCGACACTGAATTCCACTGAAAATGTTACCTAGCCTAGTAACGAAATATTCAGAAACTAACCCTCAGAAAACGAACCTCCACCATCATCCTATACCCGACCTACAGATATTTGCCACTATTGCAAACAATGTCAACTTTCTGAAGAAGAAGAAAAAAAGAGGCCTTACTTTGACCCTTCAGATTCCTTCCTTCTATTTTTGACTATTTCTTACTTACTGTGAAAGATTGACAAATTAAGCTAGTGGGCAAAATAACCTTCAGAGAAGCAAAAGTTTCGCCTTAGTACATTCTGAAGTATAGGAAAGCTGGTAGAGACAGAAAAGAAATGCTGAGGAACATCTACAACAGGGTCTTCAAACTTGGCCCTTTTATGACTTGTGGACTTCAACTCCCAGAATTGGCTGGCTGAGGAATTATGGGAGTTGAAGTCCACAAGTCATAAAAGGGCCAAGTTTGAAGACCCCTGATCTACAGAAAGTCATTTCAAGAACATCAGGCCTAAAGCATTCCCCAGATAATACAAATTTCTCACCAAGATAATTCAGAGAATGATTAAGTTCCCGGATATCAATGTGGACAGATCCTTTGGGAATCGGTATCACCTCCTCATAGCCTGAAAAACAATTTGAAAAATGGAGTGGGGAATTTATAACCAAGTACTTACTTACCATAGTTACATTAAATATGCAAATTTTACACAGGGTCATTTTACATAATCTTGCAGATAGGTATGGTGGGATCGTGATTCCCAGAATATACAGCAATTGTGGTCTGAGGAACTGAAATTAATTCTCTGTATCTTAGTAACATTGTTTGGGTAACTGTGAAGGTTTCTTCAACCTGGTGCCCTCCAGTTAGATTGGAAAAGCACCAGACAACTTGTTGATTGGAAAAATTAACATATGTTGAGGAAAAAAACCCCAATAAAACTATTATATATATATATAAATAGATTGGAACAGCAGCTTCCAGAATTACCTTTATCTTCGCTTTGCGTTTTAAGCACATCTGGAGGGCACCAGGTTGGATAAATATATTTTATTCTAACGGGCCATGATTTACTAAAAACGTTCCATTCTCTATTACTTGATTTTTTTTAAAAAAACTGGAAGCTAGGTCTGGCACTTTAATGCATATAAACTGCCAACATAATCACTGACTGTGTTCACGCAATATGCTACGCTAGGCTAAAAAGAGGTTACTATCTATGGCAGTGGTTCTCAACCTTTTTAATGCCGTGACCCCCAACCGGTCGTAAGTCGAGGACTACTCAACCGGTCGTAAGTCGAGGACTACTCACTGGTGCAGCACCGTTTGCAGAATGGGACTTTTGGCGGGCTCAGCAGGGCAGAGACAGCCTGGACAATTCCTATTGGCTTTTGAAAGCCAATAGAATTAGACTTTATTCAAGAGAGTCTATTCTATTGGCTTTCAAAAGCCAATAGAATAAAAGGGAGTAGCACAGCTAAGGAAAAGAGGAAAAAAAATGGCGGACTATGTTGTTTGGCGACCCCCGTGAAATGGTCGTTCGACCCCAAATGGGGTCCCGACCCACAGGTTGAGAACCGCTGGTCTATGGAGATTCTCAATCAGCCAGTCATGGGTGTCCCAAAGGTGCTTTTCCAAAAGGCAACTGGATTTCCTTGGTTTTTTTCCTCCAAAACATTTCACTTGTTATATAAGGAGCTTTTTTAGTTCTAACTGAATGGTGGGGGAATGGAAGAATTTATATTCTTTGCAGTCATCTGGTCGTTAGCACTCTGAGTCACTGAAGTCACTTGGGGATTTATCTGTACCCTCAAGGCCACCTGAATCAGAGGGCAAATGGGTGTGGGACCTTCTTGGTGCTGAGCTAGGTGGTCCCTCACCCTCTGCTGAGAGAGAGCTATTCAGTTTTAACCTAGATGGCCTCTTTTACCCCTCTAAAAAGAGGCTGAGTAGTTGGGATTAAATGTACTGTGGGAATGCAACCACAGTGTTAATACATTGTGTTATTCTGGCCAAGATACTAAACAGTAATATGATTTAATTGTGGGGGCAACAACATGTTATTTAAATCAGAAAGTGTTTTGTTAATCCTAATTTAGGATACCATATAAATTCAGAAGGGGACAGACTGGCCAAAACATATTTTCCTTCCCCATCTCGAAATGAGAGTCTTATAACTGTTAAGATTTTTCAAGATGAAAATAGAATCTAAAGTGTATTAATTTAAATTTGTACATCTACAGTATATAGTGATTACACACATGGGTACGTTGAATATCAGTTTAGCCAACCAAGCTTTGTCTTTCTCCAGGTTTTCAGATGAATAGACAAAAATATTTTTAAATGCAGTGTCTATGTTTATGTTGTTGTTCATTTGGCAATTTCTGCTTTATTACTGTAATCATCCCTGAAGAAGTATTTTAAAAGTTGAAAAACACCACTTGTGACCAAGGGCATGTGACCTTCCAGATACATTTGGTGTAATTTACAAGCAAAACATCCCAATTCAAACCAGTGGATGTTCATTTTTTTGAAAACAAGATTTTCTCAAAATAGAAGTACTTCTGTGGGAAATGACACCAACTCTCTGCTCCTACAGCTCTCTTATTTTTAAATCTGTAGAGTCACAAAGTCATCCTCACCTCCATCAGGCAGTGAATGGTTGAAGATCCCTTCAATAGTTTCACAGGTGGTTCCATCTCCTCCACAGACCCGGCATTTGTCCTCTTTAGTATCTGAGCCTAAGACGCGGTCACAGCCCACATGCTTATGAGAAATAAATGGAAAATGCATGTGGATCTGGTGCTTTCAGGCTCTCATTTTAATAGCTTTCCTGCTAGTGCCTCTAAAAACTTAAAATACTCCTTGATTGACTCAAGGTTGCTCAAGATTGACTCAGCCTTCCATCCTTCCGAGGTTGGTAAAATGAGGACCCAGATTGTTGGGGACAACAGGCTGACTCTGTAAACTGCTTAGAGAGGGCTGTAAAGCACTATGAAGTGGTATGTAAGTCTAAGTCAGACATGTCAAACTCGCGACGTCACGTGATGTTGCGTGACGTATTGGAGCTTTTGCTCTATTGCCGGCAATGGGGTGAGCGTGGTTTCCTCGTGATGTGTCCGGCCCCGCGGGCCAGCAGCTTGACACCTCTGGTCTAAGTGATATTGCTATTGATCAGATTAAAAAAAAAAACCCTCTTATTTCCCACAGTGGCCATACAGATGCTGCCAGGAAGGCTACATAAAATTACAACCATTCTTTGTTGTTTGATACTAAAAAATGCCTCTTAAAAATAATTTTCCTGAATTGTATCAAAGGTCCATAAACGGCATCTTCAAAAGTTCACAGGCATTGGGTAAAGGCAACTGTTTTTCTCAACAAGTACTCTCAAGAATCTTGCTGTTTTTAATAAGATCAATAGTTAATGTCAGATCTCTCATCAATTTGTCTCATCATCTGAACAAACACCATGAATATATCTTGTGCCAGTGAATTTCATTGGTTAATTCTCCAGTGGAGAAAGTATTAATGCACCTAATTGTATTTTCTTTCATTTGCCTCCAAATTAAATCTAGAAGCACCATACAGGAAGTCCTTGACTTGTGACCGATTGCTTAGCAATTTTTCGAAGTTAGGGCAGATTTATTTATTTATTTATGAGACTTATATACCGCTTTAAGTGCAAGCACTCTCTAAGCGGTATACACCAGTAAGCAATGTATACAGATTAACTGGGGGGGGGGGGATTTTAACCTGGATTCAAAGTTCCAATGCAGTTACATGATTGCATGTCAGGCATTCAGCAACAGGGCCACATTTATGGCCAATTGCAGCGTCCCTATAGTCACATGATTGCTTTTACGGCGGTTTTGCCAAAATACAGAATTTACCTCCAGTTTTCAGCAAAACTGGCCACAGGGCAAATCACTGCTTTGCTTAATGATTGCAGAGTTAACAGCCACTGCAAAAAAGATTGTAAAATCAGGTCGGTCAGGTGGGCAACCTGATTTGCAACTGTCATGACTTACAATTATGATTGGCATGCTCCGTTTATGGTCGTTAAGTCAAGGACTACCTGCATTGCGCTGGAGCAATAAGCAGACAGTAGTCTTTGGCAGGGGTCCCCAACAGGCCACATAAGCAGTGGGGGAGCATCTGCACGCACACAACTCCACTTGTGCAAGCAGCGGGTGCTCGCATTTGCACACAAAGCTCCATTAGTGTGAGTGGCCGGTGCGTATGCCGGCCGGTTGCACAAATGGAGCTGTGCATTTGTGCAGGCGCCTGCCACTCACACAGAACTATTCCTTCTCCTCTCCCCCCCCCCACCGGGCCGCCAAGCTGGAAAGTTTGGGGACTGCTGCTGTATGGGCAGGAAAGACCAATGGCTTGACTAACACACGGTCACCTTGCATTCTCCGCTGACGCAGATGTCGTGGGAGTCTTGGCGGCAAGGCGTTCCATCGATCACAGCTGCAGCCCTCTCCGTGTAGAAGTTAAAACCTTCCGCCAAACAGTTGAGTGAGCAGGACTTGACACCACCTGCAAGCCGGGAATTAATGCACACAAGTTCATCAGAGGCTGGATTGCAGAATAGCATCTTTATTGAAGGCTGAATTAATTTTTATCTAACTAAGCAAAAAAAAAAAAAACCAAAGCACATTTGTGATGGCCACAGGTCCCAAGCCTCTTCCTCTGCCATAGCCACTGCATATGGAACGAGGAAGCTGCACGTTTTGTACCCAATCTCACACGTTGCCTTCTCGGGGACAAGGTGATTCCTGTGAATTTTTATATCTTGCCAAATTCTGTGCCAAAAGAAATAAAACTGAGAGCTGGTTTGGTGTAGTGGCTAGGGTGCTAGGCTGGAAGCTGGAATGAGATATTATAGTTACAATCCTCCTTCGGGCGCGAAAGAGATGAGTTTGCGCCAGTTATACTATTTATGACAGTTGTGGCGTCCCAGGGCCATGTGATCACCTTTTCCAACCTTCCGACAAGCAAATTCAACGGGAAGCTAGACTCACTTAACAACTGTGTACCACTTAACGACGGCAATGATTCGCTTAACAATGATGGCAAGGAAGGTTGTAAAATGGGGCAAAACTCACTTAATAAATGTTTCACTTAGCAACATAAATTTTGGGCTCAGTTGTGGTGGTAACTCGAGGACTACCTGTATACAGTTTTGGGGAGGGAAGGGAAGGAAGGAAAGGAGTTCCTGTGGATTTTATCCTGCTAGTCATTGCTGACTCTAGGGGCCAGTTCTCATCTCCGTTTTGAGGCCATTGAGCCAAAGCTGTCCGAAGTCCTTTCCATGGTCATGTGGGCATTGCGGAGCCCTGTTTCCTTCCCACTGAAGTGGTACCTATTTATCTATTTGCATTTGCATGCTTTTGAACTGCTAGGACAGTGATGGTGAACCTTTTAGAGACCGAGTGCCCAAACTGCAACCCAAAACCCACTTATGTATTGTTGGGTGCTGGGTGGGCGTGGCCCATTGGGTGGGCGTGGCCCATTGGGTGGGTGTGGCCAATTGGATGGGCATTGCTGCGGTGGTAACGGCAGACTGGGTGGGACTAAAAAGTTCAATCAATCAATTCCAACTTTGCAAGATCTTTTTTTTCCCGCGAGAAGTTGAAATTGATTGATTGATTGAACCTTTTTTTTTTTTTGCACACGGTGGCGGAGGCCTAAAGTGAAAAGGTTTTATAAAACCCAGCTGAAGGCCTAGGACTGGGGCGACGGTGCACGTGCCCACAGAGAGGGCTCTGTGTGCCACCTGTGGCACGCACGCCATAGGTTCGCCACCACAGTGCTAGGCAGACAGCAACTAGGCAGAGACGGGCACTCACCACATTGTGCAACACTCAAGTCTTGAACCGCTTTGAGATGGCCAAAAATAATGGTAGAATAAACACTGGTCAAATTTTCCTTACAGTTCTAGTAGATGTTATAGGAGGAGAGCCACGCTAGTAGCCAAAAATCAGGATTGTGGTAGTAACTTTACAAATGTTAATAAAAAGGTGCTACCGGACTACTGATTCTAAAAGTCCTAGAGATCTCCAACATATATAGCTGCAAAAGAAAAGTTATCTATGATTTTTCTATCTCAAATATTCCATTCTGAATTTAACTTTTGAGTGGGATTTAAGCAATGGAGGTAACATCATACAGTTTTTTCAGAAGAAGTCTAATTGCTTCTTAGAATCTCTGGGCTGGCCTCTTTCCAATCTGCCTCTGCTCAAAATATATTATTCTGCCCTGTTCTGCCCTAATAGAATTTAATTACTGAATCATTCCTGAACCAGAGGAATGATACACTCTCATATCAGGCTGCCCATTATTTTTCTATATCAGTCCTTGTACTAAAAACTAGAGAGAGGTGCTCTAATTGCAAGTCATTTAGGAGCCCTGGAAGACAGTTTCTTGGAAAGTGATCAATTCTTAACTTGATCACGGAAATCAATCTATAGGAATAACAGAATAACAGAGTTGGAAGGGGCCTTGGAGGTCTTCTAGTCCAACCCTGTGCTCAGGCAGGAAATCCTATGCCGTTTCAGACAAATGGCTGTCCAGGCTCTTAAAAGTTCCAATATTGGAGCATTCACAACTTCTGAAGACAAGTCGTTCCACTAAGTAATTGTTCTAACTAACAATTTCTCTAATTTCTCCTTAGTTCTAGATTGCTTCTCTCTTTGATTAGTTTCCATCCATTGCTTCTTGTCCTGCCTTCAGGTGCTTTGGAGAATAGCTTGACTCCCTCTTCTTTGTGGCAGCCTGAGATATCATGTCCATCCTCGTCCTTCTCTTCATTAAACTAGACATACCCAATTCCAGCAACTGTTCCTTATATGTTTTAGCCTCCAGTCTCCTAATCATCTTTGTTGCTCTTTTCTGCACTTTTTCTAGTGTCTCAACATCTTTTTTACCAAAACTGATGCAGTATTCCAAGTGTGGCCTTACCAAGGCATTATAAAGTAGTATTAACACTTCACGTGATCTTGAGTTTATCCTTCTCTTAATGCTGCCTAGAACTGTGTTTGGCTTTTTTGGCAGCTGCAGCACATTGCTGGCTCATATGTAAGTGATTGTCCACTAGGACTCCAAGATTCCTCTCACAATTAAGTGCCATAATAAGTTATACTATGAGCACTTCCAAATGGTGATTTTTTTTCTGCCCTGTGCAGCATGTTCCCCATTGATAACATACTATTGATAATGTCACATGATAGCAGTCTTTCAATATCTAAGAAGCTGCCACAAAGAAGAGGGGGTCAAAGCACCAGTAGGCAGAACAAGAATGGATGGAAATTAATCAAGGAAAGATCCAACCTAAAACTAAGGAGAAATTTCCAGACAGTGAGAACAATCAATTGTCTCCAGAAGGATGATCCGTCACTGGAGGTTTTCAAGAAAAGATTGGGCAACCATTTGCGACCCATAGGTTGAGAACCACTGATTTAGACTAAGATAAAATGGGGATGGGGAATTTGTTATTCGACATATTGAGACAACCCAGCCATTGTCTTACCACGTTATATAAATTAGGCTATCATGTTAAGCCATCACATGGTTTATTTGTGGAGCTTAGTGTGGAAAGTTCTATATCAAAATATATTTTATTATTTATAATGTCTCCATCTTCCCTTAAACATTAACAGAATCTATAAAGGACTGAGAATCAGCGTCTCCATTAGTTAATTGACAGTCAAGTTAAAACTAAGTTAATCAAATAAAAATAGCAAACGGGATAAAATATTTTATTCAAACTTCCTTAAACCCCCAAATAAGTTACCCAGACCTAACCTACACATTAAAGAAGGAGGTATGTAAACACAGAGATAATTAAAATGGTCACCATGCAGAACTGCATGTTCACAATAATACACATCATTGATGAACAGGTACCTACACACACCTATGCTCCTCAAGTGTCACCCTAGAATCAGCATTTCATACCCAGGATAAGCTCCCCTATAAAACAATGTCTCTGTACCCCATTTTTTTCTGCAGCTTCCCCCAAAACAAACCTCCATGCTTTTGAGAATAAATAATTCTCCTTTCCTCACAGCTGTCTGGATTTCATTTTTATTTATTCTTGCGCAACCCCAGCTCTAGGTGAAATCCTAAATTTCTGACATTAGCATGTTACAAAACCAAGGTTACAAGTAACTGGAGCTTTTAGAAATCTGCAGTTACACAAGTTTGTGTGTTTGTTAAACAATGTTTATAACCTGCCCCAAAGTAGAATTTAAAATCATTTCAAGTAGAAGTGGTCAATAATTGACTACTTATGATAGATATCCAGATATAACTAGATTTGAAAAGCATGGTGATATACAGCACTTCTTTAACTTGCCGACTAAATGCAAGGATGATTGGAGTCTCCAATGAGAATGTCTATCATCTTGTTGAACTCCATATAGCCTGCTAGAAGAAGCACCATCAATAGGGCCTCCTTAAATTTTTCTACTAGATGGGAAAATTTTATTTTGGCAAGTTACCGGATGTACTTTACATATAGCGCTTTTAAAGGTAATGATTAGCCTTTAGAATTGGATCCAGAAGTACACCGAGGGTCTTCAAACTTCAAAGCATTGGTGGCATATTCAAGGGTATAGATCAGGAGTCTTCAAACTTGGCCCTTTTATGACTTGTGGACTTCAATTCCCATAATTCCTCAGCCAGCATGCCTGGCTGAGGAATTATGGGACTTGAAGTCCACAAGTCATAAAATGGCCAAGTTTGAAGACCCCTGCTGTACACTGAGGAGATGGCCCTAGTAGTAGTTGGCTGTCACATTTTGTACCAGCTGTATTTTCAAGGTCATCTCTAAAGGGAGCCTCATTCAGCTAGTAACCAGCCATAGCTGGTAGATCTAGTAGCCAACGATCAGATTAACCAAGTCAAGGAATATCACCCTTGTTCACTTCCTCTGAACCTTTGTGCTAAGACAGTACCTGCCAGACAAATAGCCTGTTCTCATTGGACAGCTGGGCTGCAACTAATCAATGTTTGAGGGATGTATTGTTTTGCATTGCTTGGACCTGAAAACAAATTTTAGGATGAAGTGCCATGTTTCTGCAGTTGCTTTAGAGCGGGGGTGTCAAACTTGCAATGTCACGTGACGTGTCACGATGTATCACGACTTTTTCCTCATTGTCGGAGCTGGGGTGGGTGCAGTTTCAGCATGACGCATGCAGTCCACGGGCCATCAGTTTGATACCCCTGCTTTAGAGTCTCTGTCATTTCTTTCTGTGACTGAGTGGTTGAGCTGATCACTAGGCCATACTGATAGTCTTCAACTTACAACCATTCCTATGGTGAGCGTCTGAAATTGTAACAGCATGAAAAAAGTGACTGACTGTTGCAGTGTCCCCATGGTCACATTATCAGAATTTGGGTGCTTGGCAATGGTCTCACAGTTATGAAGATTGCAGTGTCCCAGGGTCATGTGATCGCCATTTGTAACCTTCTGACAAGCTAAGTTAATGGAGAAGCTAGATTCGCTTAACAACCATGTTACTAATTTATCAGCTGCAGTGATTCACTTAACAACTGTGGGCAAGAAAGGTCATAAAATGGGGCAAAACTCACTTAGCAACTCTTGCTGGCAACAGAAATTTTGGGCTCAACTAAAGGACTACCTTTAGTTCAGTGGTTCTCAACCTTTTTAATGCTGCGACCCCCAACCGGTCGTAAGTCAAGGACTACTCAACCAGTCGTAAGTCGAGGACTACTCAACTGGTGCAGCACCGTTTGCAGAATGGGACTTTTGGCGGGCTCAGCAGGGCAGAGACAGCCTGGACAATTCCTATTGGCTTTTGAAAGCCAATAGAATTAGACTCTATTCAAGAGAGTCTATTCTATTGGCTTTCAAAAGCCAATAGAATAAAAGGGAGTAGCACAGCTAAGGAAAAGGGGAAAAAAATGGCGGACTGCGTTGTTTGGTGACCCCCATGAAATGGTCGTTCGACCACAAATAGGGTCCCGACCCACAGGTTGAGAACCACTGCTTTAGTTGATGAGGATCCTGGATTTTCACAAAATAGCTGACTGGAGGATTCACAAGTTCCCTGATATTATTTGGGGTTAAAAATGCCCCCTCCCCTTTACTAACAGGGTAAACAGGTTAGTGCTATCCTCTGGACCCTGAACCAACTTGCTTAATTGTGTTGTGTGAACCCAGGCTATTGTATTGACAAGTGGAAGAGGAGCCTCTTTAGACTAGTTAAAATTTGAAGTCATGCCTACAAATCTGAACAAAGAAAATTGATTGCATATCCTTCTGTCCCCTTATATTTTAAATTCATTTCAGCTCTGGCTCCCTGGAGTTCGACACTGCTGAGCTCCTTCAGAGGGTTAGCAGCTGAGAAACCTGGAGCTTATTAACAGATGTCTCAGAGGTGGTTTGGCTCAATGGCTGAGTCTGAGTGTTTAGCAAAAACAGATGGAAGAGTGGAAAGGAATCTCAGTTCGAAGGATATAAGCCAGGATATGCAGCTTTGGTCTTTTTTTTTTTCATTTTTCTTTTGGCCAAGGGCCACACTTGATCTTTGAGCCATGTGCCAAAGGGCTGGGACTATGTTTGAGGAGCTGAGGATGTTTAAGGGAAAGTGACAAGAATGGTGGTAAATCAAGAAACCAAGCCCAACAAAGAATAATTTAAAAAAACAACAACAACTAGAAAGATTAGCTTGCAAGACAGAAAATTAAAGGAAAGCTCAATCTTGTTTTTTTCAATTATTGCACCTTACTAGTTATAAGAGGGACAATAACATGAACCTGCTTTCTATGATTCCATGGAAGAACTAATAGGGAGAATTGACAGGGCAGCCACTGGGCTCAACCTAAAGAGAACTTTCCTATTAACTGTTTGCTGCTGGAACAAACTTTCTTGAGGAATGATGGCTTCTTCTCTGCAGGAATTTGAAGCAGAGGCTGTAAATTTGTCTGCCAAGAATGCTGAAGTTGCAAGATTTCGGCATAGAGCAGGGAACTGGATGGCCTTCAAAATGCTTTCTAACATAAAAATCCTACACAGTATATCTGGGTGGGCAAGCTTTTGGCAGCTGGATGCTGCACATTTTTTTCTTGAACTTTTCCTGGGGGGGAGGGGGGGATGAAAGCTGCAATATGCTAGCCAGAATGTCCTTCCCTAGTCCAGGGGTAGGTAACCCTGGCTCTTTTATGACTCGTGGACTTCAACTCCCAGAATTCCTGAGCCAGCCATGCTAAGGGGAAAGGGAGAGGTTTCCAAGCTGAGCCATGCTGGCTCAGGAATTCTGGGAGTTGAAGTCCACGAGTCATAAAAGAGCCAAGGTTGCCTATCCCTGCCCTAGACATTTCTAAGATTATCATTAGACAGCAGAAGGTTTCTGCCTCCTTCTTACTTTCCATTTATTTTCCCTTTACCTGGAGAATTCTAAATACCTATTTCCCGGGTGAAACAGTATTTCCTCAGAAGAAACATCATAGGACAGTGTTTCTCAATCTTAGTGGCTTTAAGATGTATGGACTTCAACTGCAACGTCGGCTAGGGAATTCTGGGAGTTGAAGTCCACACATCTTAAAGTTGCCAGGGCTCAGAAATAAAGCTGTAAGATTTCAAAATCTGTTTTCATTAGTGTATTTTTTGCTTCTCCGTCCCATAGTTCTTGACCCAAAGGAAGTAGCTGCAATTCACAGTGAAAAACCATCAATTCTTTTGACAATCTTCCCTCTCCTCAGCCTTTCCTGGGTCTTCTCTCTGCTGCCCTGTAGTTATTTCTATACTGAGAGTGGGGGTGGGGAATGTGAAATTCCACACAATCTCTGAAAATGGCTGAACTGGGCTCTCCTGTTGTGCCTCCTTTTTGCAGTTGTAAATCAGAGTGGAAAAACAGAGCTGCTTGGAAAAACACCTTCTTTTTCTCTTGTCTATCAATATCTCATTTTCTCTGCTCTTTGCACAGATGGATTAAGGCCAACCAATGCCTTAAGCCAGTGGTTCTCAACCTTTTTAATGCCGCGACCCCCAACCGGTCGTAAGTCGAGGACTACTCAACTGGTGCAGCACCATTTGCCGAATGGGACTTTTGGCGGGCTCAGCAGGGCAGAGACAGTCTGGACAATTCCTATTGGCTTTTGAAAGCCCATAGAATTAGACTTTATTCAAGAGAGTCTATTCTATTGGCTTTCAAAAGCCAATAGAATAAAAGGGAGTAGCACAGCTAAGGAAAAGGGGGGGAAAAATGGCGGACTGGTTGTTTGGCGACCCCCGTGAAATGGTCGTTCGACCCCAAATAGGGTCCTGACCCACAGGTTGAGAACCATTGTCTTAAGCAATAGTAACTTTGATACTCCTCGGTACTCCATTGCTTAACACAAGATATTAAGATTCAGTGTGGTAATGGTGAAATACGTTATTAAAAATCTGTTTTTCTTCTAGGCTATTTTCCAGATTGGACCTCACAACTATATTAAATATAGCCTTTTTTATATTAAAAAATAATCTAAATAGCAATAAATATAAGCCAATTATTAACTTACAAAGAGGGCAATAGAGAAAAGGCACATTTTCAACCATCTTAAAAGCATTTTTAAACAACATTATGCCCTTCAAAAATAAGGAGAAGACTGCAGGACAAAGTAGAATCCCAAAGCAATAAACGGGTGAGTGAAAATTGATTTAACACTTCTAATAACTTTGTGTTTTTATTACTTCAATGCAATTGTACCTTGGAGGGCCACAAACATGTCTCAATTGGTCCAAAGGAGCTAGCTCATTTGCCCGTTAGACCGGCCAGTAAGAATACAATATTCTACAGTCAGCAGGAGTCAAAGAGGATAAGGCATTTTTTGTTTACAAACCATGACAGAAGCCAGACAGTAGGTGTTAGATATGCAACTCTAGGGGGTGGTGCTCATCTCCATTTCTTAGCCACGGGAGCCAGTATTGTCCCAAGACACTTCTGTGGTCATGTGACCAGCATGACTATATGCTGAGGCGCACAGAACGCTGTTATCGAAGTGGTACCTATTCATCTACTCACATTTACATGCTTTCTGGGCAGGAGCTGGGCCGAGTAATAGGAGCTCACCCTATCATGCAGCACTTGTGTCTCAAATTCAGGCTGTCAGCTTTCCAGCTTGCACATTTGCTAATAGCAGTTTCAATTCTCTGAGTGCTAAACTTTACATAACGGGTACAAAAACCCAACCCAATTCAAAACCTTCCTAGGAAAAACACTTTAGGCCTTTAGGATTCAATATGCATGGAATTCCTATTTACTGTTGTAGAAAAAAATGGAAAAGCAGAGATAGGATTGCAACAGGGTGCCTTGGAAACAAAACATTAATTCGCCAGTTGTGCAAAAACATCCCACTCTGCAAACTTTTGTTAACTTGCACATATTATGACCATGTGGATGTGGAAGCTGTCTGTTAGAAAATGCTGCACTTACCCCCTCGGTACGTCTTCCAGGTATAATATTTGCCCCGAAAGGGGATGTGATCAAATTCAGCACATTGAAGCTCTCGGAAATCTTTTGATCCAGGAGGACAATCCTGAAGCAGGGTAAGAATCATGGAAGAAAGGAAAATCCCAGAATTATTATCAACAGCCGGACGTGGTTATGTCCACCGATACATGGATGGTAAAAACTATTTCTGGCTCCTGATCAAAAACATCATGGTGGTGAAATAAAAATATTTGGTTGTTAGGATGGAGCTTAATCTTGAAATGTGAGGTCTCCAGGAAAGGTTGGTTTTTTTTTTTTTTGCATTGAGATATATTCAAATAGAAAGTAAATCTATTTGTGACTCTTAACTCATAGATAAAAAAATGCTACATACAGACAGACAGTCCTCGATTTACAACCATTTGTTTAGCAACCCTTCAAAAGTACAACAGAACTGAAAAAGTCCTTGCACTTACAACCGTTGTCGCATCCACATGATCAAAACTTGGGAGCTTGGCAACTAACATGTATTTATAACAATAGCAGCATCCCGGGATCATGTGAGCATCTCAGATAGCTTCAGTGGGGGAAGCAGTTTCACTTAATGACCGCACAATTCACTTAACAACTTTAGTGATTCATTTAACATCCATGGCAAAAAGGTCATAAAGTGAGGCACAACTCACTTAACAATTACCTTACTTAGCAACGGAAATTCTGGTCTCTATTGTGGTTGTAAGTTAAAGACTACCTGTACAAGGAATTCAGTGGCTGAGTATGCAGACAATTTTATGGGTTCACATAAGACAGGGGTCCTCAAACATGGCCACTTTAAGACTTGTGGACTAATGGCTGGCTGGGGAATTCTGGGAGTTGAAGTCCACAAGTTTTAAAGTGGCCAAGTTTGAGGACCCCTGACATAAGAGATTGAACCATAGATTAGTCAAGTGGTCTAAATCCACACAACGCATTGCCCCCAAACAAAAACATAGACAGAACTAAAACTCCATGCCATGAACTAAGGTCATAACTGGTCACGCTTAGCATTTTGAATGAATGCAGATGTGATGTTTTTAACTGTCCTGATTAAGCATTTGTGAACACAGAGATCTTTGATGGATCTATCCTGGAAATATACAACATAGGAAAACTGGTGTCTCTCACAGCTCTATAAAGAGGTAATTTTGATGATCATGCCTCCCAAAGACTATCTGAAACTGATTTTTAATTTCAAAATATTGTCAGAGGAGGGAGAGGAAACCACTTGGTGCAGTTTTGAGAACACTTGTAGCAGGCATAGTGGGAGGTGCAAAAAGGATAAATTCTCAAGTCCACATTATTAAACAACAATCAGAGCAAGGATTAATATGTTGAATTATCTTTCAACCAAAATGACTCATGAGGCTTGAAAAATATTCTATGAATTCCCGCCAGCTGGCCAACCCAAAATTCCTTACAGTTAAATGCAATTTCAGGCAGCATCGAAAAAGTGCAGTTTGCAAATAGGAAAAGTATTAGTGGTTCAGATGCCAGTTTCGGTATTGTGTCCGGTTCTGAGCACCCGCTTTAAGGATTCAGAAAAGACCAGAAATGTTTCAGAGAAGAACAAAATATGTTCTGCTAGAAATTAGGAAGTTTAGTCTAGACTAGAGCAATGTTTCTCAACCTAGGCCAGTGGTGGCGAACCTATGGCACGGGTGCCAGAGGCGGCACTTGGAGCCCTCTCTGTGGGCACACGTGCCGTTGCCTCAGCCTCGCCTCTCCCTGCAACCCCCTCCTCTCCAGCAGCCCCCCTGAAGGAGAGTCGCCCTTGAGCGTGGCCCACACGGAGCAGCGCAGCCAAGGACATGGCAGCCAGGCAGTGTAGACAAGACTCTGTTCTCACACCCCATCATGCAGTTGATGCTGTAGGGCACGGGCAGAGGGTGTGGCCGCCATAGTGCTGCTGGGCTGCCTGGGCGATCTGCGGCAGGCCCTGGAGGCGGTGAGTGGTCCTGCGGCAGGCGGGGTGGGGGATGGTGGGGCAGAGCGGGGGCAGGGCAGGGTGGTGGAGTGGGGGCGGGGCCAATTTTGGGGGAATCGGTCTCTAAAAGGTTCGCCATCACTGACCTAGGCAATGTGAAGATGGATGGACTACATCTCCCAGAATTTCCTAGCCAGCATGCTGACTGGGGAATTCTGGGAAATGTAGTCCACACATCTTCATGTTGCCAAGGTTGAGAAACACTAACCTAAAGAAGAGAAGACCAAAGAGGATCTTCCTTCCTTCCTTCCTTCCTTCCTTCCTTCCTTCCTTCCTTCCTTCCTTCCTTCCTTCCTTCCTTCCTTCCTTTTCTATTTCTATACCTGAAACAATGTCAAAGAATAGGCCCAAACTATTCTGCATCACATGGAATAATGTGCAGAGCATGGAATAATGGTTTTAAAATACAAGAAGGCTGATTCATTTGAGTATTGGGGGGGGGGGGAAGAGAAGCTCAAAAGAGAAGCTTAATTTCCCAGGAAAGTAGGTGGGCCCTCCTCCTCCAGATGTGTCTGACAGACACTACACATCATTGTCTGGGGATGATTTAATATGAATTCCTGCACTGAAAAGAGGGTTAGACTTGATGGCCTAAACAGCTTTTCCACCTCTAATTTTCTGGGATGCTGCACAGTGTGTTTGTGGTTGGTGTTACTCACATCAATGTTACATGACCGGTAGCGCTTTCGTTCCCCTAGGCAATACCTTCCTCCAATGGTTGGCCTTTTAAAAAAAAAATGGTAAAGAATGCATGATTATAGGCCCACAGTGCTATGCCCAGAGGCTGCATCGGATGTTGACAGCGATCTGCTTACCTTGGACTGTCGCAATAGCGAATGGATGAGGAAACACCTCCCCCGCAGGTCCGGCTGCACTCTCCCCAGGCTGACCAGGTGCCCCATGCTCCATCCACCCCTTCTGGCCGCATGCCAAAAGGTACGCATTCCCGCTTGTAGCACCACTGAGTAGGGTGGAGGCAAGGGGGACAGAGAGAAAAACACAGGCAATATTGTTGTTGTTGTTAGTTGCGAAGTTGTGTCTGACCCATCACGACCCCATGAACAACGTTCCTCCAGGCCTTCCTGTCCTCTACCTTCTTCTGGAGTCCATTTAAGCTCACGCCTACTGCTTCAGTGACTCCATTCTCTGTCGTCCCCTTCTTCTATTGCCCTCAATCTTTCCCAGCATCAGGCTCTTCTCCAGTGAGTTCTTCCTTCTCATTAGGTGGCCAAAGTACTTGAGTTTCAGCTTCAGGATCTGGCCTTCTAAAGAGCAGTCAGGGTTGATCTCCTCGAGGACTGACTGGTTGGATTGCCTTGCAGTCCAAGGGACTCACAGGAGTCTTCTCCAGCACCAGAGTTCAAAGGCCTCAATGCTTTTGCGCTCAGCCTTTCTTATGGTCCAACTTTCACAGCCATACATTGCAACTGGGAAAATCATGGCCTTGACTATACGTACTTTTGTTGGCAGGGTGATGTCTCTGCTTTTTTGTATGCTGTCTAGATTTGCCATAGCTTTCCTCCCCAGGAGCAAGGGTTTTCTAATTTCTTCTAATTTCTGCAGTCCCCATCTGTGGTGATCTTGGAGCCCAGGAAGATAAAATCTGTCACTACCTCCATTTCTTCCCCATCTATTTGCCAGGAATTGAGAGGGCTGGATGCCAATATTGCAGAAAGCCAAAGCGGTTATTCATAACCCCCTTGGTTTGCCCATATAGGTAGTCCCTTAGTTACAACCAGAATTGAGACCAGCTTACTAAGCAAGGTGTTGTTGAGTCCCCACCCAATTTTTTCACTTTTTTTGTCCTGGTTGTTAAGCAAACCCCTGCAGTTAAGTGACTCATGGGGTCATTAAATGAATCCGGCTTCCCCTGTTTACTTTGCTTGTTGGAAGCCAGCTGGGAAATGATGATTGTATGACCCCAGGTGCTGAAATTGTCATAAATACATGCTGGTTGCCAAGCATGCAAATTCTGATCACATGATTGTGGGGACGCTAGGTGGTCATAAGTTGTAAGCCATTTTTTGAGTGCTGTTGTTAACTTCAGTCACAAAACAAATGGTTGTAAATCGAGGACTATCTATACCAGTGGTCTTCAAACTTGGCCCTTTTATGACATGTGGACTTCAACTCCCAGAGTTCCTCAGCCAGGCATGCTGGCTGAGGAATTCTGGAAGTTGAAGTCCACAAGTCATAAAAGGGCCAAGTTTGAAGACCCCTGATCTATACCCTTGAATATGCCATCAATGCTTTATCCCCAACTCCTTGAGGCTCCCAAATCCTCATGGTTTTAAATAAAGATCTGATTTATCAAGAAACACAGGAAGCCATCTCATACTGGTTGAGACCATTTGGTACAGGGACTCATAGTATTAGATGGAAGTATTTCGGTGGTCCTACCTTAGGTGAAATTGGAATCCTCTGCACGCAAAAACCAGATGCCCTATTACTGAGCAATGAGCTTTTACTGTACTAGTTAGATCAGCGTTTTTCAAACTTGGCAATTGGAAGATGTATGGACTTCATGCTGACTGGGAATTCTGGGAGTTGAAGTCCACACATCTTCCAGTGGTCAGGTTTGAAAACCTCTGAGAACTTTTATCTATTTCTGATATCGTGGTTTTTCCTTACCCCCTTTTCAATGGTGTTAGTCTGGCATATCGTCCCTTCTGCAGCTGGAATACTGTTGGTGATACACCGGTTCGTCTTGCTAAGACACCACAGCTCATTGCAAACTTCCTGGATGACAAACAAAACAACAGTTGGTGGATTGTAGGAATGGGAAAAAAGATAGTGCCAAGAAGAGTAATAGGGTGGGATATGGAGCTGAGTGAATACAGTTTTGGTTTAGCTGACTTTTTCATTTTGTCAGACATAAGTAGTTTTGAAGCAATTGTTTCAGCCTTGATTTATGCATGTTTTTAATTTTTTTCCTGGAAACTCACATGATTTTTTTGTGGATTGTCCAAGGATCATTTTATAGGCAACTTCTGCATATTTCTACATTAATTTTTCTAATCCACTGTCTTTTATAATCTGCATTTTTTTCTTATAAGGACATATTAGAATACAATTCTTGAATTCACAAAATTTGGAAAAGTAAAGTTTCCAGTCTTCTTCAGAAACACCAAACTGCATAAATTTGCATCAAAATAAACTCAAGCTAATTGCTTCCCTAGTTATTTGTAAATCTGTATTAAGAATGGGAGTACTAATACAGTCTTTCAGTTATCTGAAATAAGCAGAAAAATGGTCTTCCAAACTGCCACAAATAAACATGAACTTATCCCTAAAAACAAATTTGTATTAGAGTGTAGGGGTTATAGCAATAAATAACAAAATGGGTTTGTTGACTGCAATACAAGGATATTTTCATTTTCTCATGTGTGACCGCCTTCATTCAACACAATTACTCTGCCAACATGAATATAATTTTATATATATATAAACTAGGTCCAAAAGAAGAAATAGTATGCAATACAGGTAATCTTTGACTTACAACCGCAATTGGGACCAAAATTTCCTTTGCAGTTCAATGCAGTTGTCATGCCCAATTTTACTACAGTTTTTGCCATGGTTGTTAAGGGAATCACTGCAGTTAAGTAAATCATGAAGCCATTAAGTGAATCTAGCTTCCCCCATTGAGTTTGCCCATCAGAAACTGGCTCTGAAGTTTGCAAATGATGATCACGTGACCCCGGGACCCTGCAACCTTCATAAACATGAACCAGTTTCCATGCATCTAAATTTTGGTCATGTGACTATGGAGATGCTACAATGGTCATTTGAAAATGATCATTTTTTAAAATGCCTTTGTAACTTTGAACAGTCACTAAATGACTCAATGGTTGTAAGTTGAGGACTACCTGTACTGAAGTAAGATGAGAATCAACAGATGGGAAGCTTTATAGTGGAGCAGCCTGCCTTCTGAAATAGTAGTAATGGCTCCATTACTAGAAGTTTTCAAGCAAAGGTTGGGCAGCCCTCTGTCTGGGATGCTCTATAGCAGGGGTCCTCAACCATGGCAACTTTAAGACTTGTGGACTTCAACAAATTCCTCAGAGCTGGCTGAGGAATTCTGGGAATTGAAATCCAGAAGTCTTAAAGTTGCCAAGGTTGAGGACCCCTGCTCTAAAGCAGGGGTGTCAAACTGCCAGCCTGGGGGCCGGATGTGTCACACAGAAGCCGCGCCCACCTCAATTCTGGCAAGGGGGAAAAAGTCATGATACATTGCGATACGTCACATGATGCGGCGAGTTTGACACCCTTGCTCTAACAATTCCTGTCCTGGGCAGGGGATTGGACCAGAATAGATTCTGTGATCCTACAGCTTATGTAACTGAGTCTCTCTTTCTTTTCTTTTTCTTTTATTTCTGCTACAGATACTGTCCAAAATAAAAAAATCAGATTTGTTCTTTATTGGGGACACTGAAACCAGTAAAAGAAATATGAAGTTTTGGCTTCAAGAAATGCATCATCTTCTGTGATTCCTTACAAGCTGTCATTTGGATAGGTACAAAAGCACATGACTACGACTGATCAGAAATAACCAAACACAGGGGCACCTCAATACAGGAAAAAGTTAGACATGACTAATAACAGCACGAAAAGATGCTGCCAACAGTTGGGGTTGATGCACAGAAAGCTTATCTTACAAAGACCACACGTAGTCCTTGACATATGACCGTAACTGAGCCTGCAATTTCAGTCATAAATCATGACCGTCGTAAAACGGGTGACGGCGGCCGATTTTAAAACCTTTGTTGTGGTGCTTGTTGAGTAAACGCAATGTTTGTTAAGCAAACGCTATGGTTGTTAAGCGAACCCATTGTTAATTATGGGCAATTTTTTTGCTGAAAACCAGAAGCAAGCACTGGTTTCCAGCAAAAACATCATAAATTCTGGTCACGTGACCACGGGACACTGCAAACAACCCTGCATCCAGTTTTGGTCACCACAATGTAAAAAAGATGTTGAGACTCTAGAAAGAGTACAGAGAAGAGCAACAAAGATGATTAGAGGACTGGAGGCTAAAACATATAAGGAACGGTTGTTGGAATTGAGTATGTCTAGTTTAATGAAGAGAAGGACGAGGGGGGACAGGATAGCAGCATTCCAATATCTCAGGGGCTGCCCCAAAGAAGAGGGAGTCAAGCTATTCTCCAAAGTGCCTGAAGGCAGGACAAGAAGCAACGGATGGAAACTAATCAAGGAGAGAAGCAACCTAGAACTAAGGAGAAACTTCCTGACAGTTAGAACAATTAACCAGTGGAACAACCTGCCTCCAGAAGCCGTGAATACTCCAATGTAAATATACATATACATTGCTTACTGGTGTATACCGCTTAGAGAGTGCTTGCACTTAAAGTGGTATATAAGTCTCATAAATAAATAAATAAACACTGGAAGTTTTAAAGAAGAGACTGGACAGCCATTTGTCTGAAATGATATAGGGTTTCCTGCCTGAGCAGGGGGTTGGACTAGATGACCTCCAAGGTCCCTTCCAACTTTATTATTATTATTATATTATATATTATTATAAATATTGCCAAGCATCCAAAATGGGGTCACGTGACCAGAGGGGATGGGGCTGGATATCAGAACTTTGAATCTGGGTCGTAAATAGCTTTATGAGGGTCCATCCCTACTTTGATGGTTGCTAAGCAACTGGTCGTAAGTCGAGGACTACCTCCAATGTTCTTGCCTCACTAAAATTCCTTCCTTCCAACCCCTTGGGAATCAAGAGGAAAAGCAGGAAGGCTTCTCTACCCCATATTTACACTGGCGAGATTTTGTTCCGTACTGAAGCCGGCACTGCTCGTCTGCATCGTAGGCTTGTCCTGGAGCCACAGTGGGGTAGATGAAGTCCTGTTTGGGTGGAGCATTATTCAGGCAGAGTCCCATTCCAGAGCTAGAGTGAAGGAAGCACAAGTTATTAATACTGTGTTTCCCTGTAAATCAGACCCGGTCTTATTTTATTTTATTTTATTTTATTTGCTTCCAAAAGAGGCACCAGGTCTTTTTTTCAGGGTGGTTGCGGTTGTGTGGATTGTGTCAGATTGTCCTTGCATGCTATCCTGTATTGTGATAACGATGGAGATTTGTTTTTGTTGTTCGTTGATTTTAACCTTATGTTCATCATCCAGAGTCAGAATAGAAATGGGTATAATGATTAGTATAATAAAGTTTGTAACATTCTATATCCTGTGTTCTAGTGTTAAAATTGTTTCAGAAGATGTCTGTCTATTGCTATGCTACCCAATACTTAGGTAGTCTTATTTGAATTACAAAGCCATACAAAGCACATTAGATATTATTACCAAAACATCAATCATTAATAAAAAAAACCATATTGGATATATGATACCTTTTCATTCATTTACTTTAATGTAGGAAAACAAAGACTCTGGTGTGTCTTTTCCACAGTCCCTCCTCATGGCAGCGGCATCGGCAGCCCTGCCCAGCCGGCTCACTTCTTCTGCGGCCTTCCAGAAAGGCCTCTGCAGCCGAGAGAACTGAGCTCTGACAGTGAAATGCAGGCTGGGGGGTGCCGCAGAAGAAGTGGGCCAGCGAGGTGAGGCAGGTGTCCATTCAGGGGAGGCCTGGCTACAACGGTGAGCGGGTGTGGGTGTGTGGGGCAGCTCGACCCCCCCCACTCCTGCCCTAGCTTGATTTTTAGGCATGCGCCTCGCCCCAAAACTAGGGCTTATTTTCGGGGTAGTCCAGTGGTAGGATTCAAATATGTGAATAACCGGTTCTCTTTGTGAATGCCGCTTCTGGAAGTCTATTCTGGGCCTGGGCAACAGAAATTTAGCTACCGGTTCTGCCAAAGTGGTGCGAACTGGCTGAATCCTACCACAGGAAGGAAGGAAGGAAGGAAGGAAGGAAGGGAGGGAGGGAGGGAGGGAGGGAGGGAGGGAGGGAGGGAGGGAGGGAAGAAGGAAGGAGAGGAAGGAAGGAAGGAGTGGTGGGATTCAAATATGTCAACAACCGGTTTTCTGTGTGGATGCCGCTTCCGGAAGTCCATTCTGGGCCTGGGCAACAAAAAATTAGCTACCGGTTCTGCCAAAGTGGTGCGAACCGGCTGAATCCCACCACTGGACAGGTCTTACTTTCGGTAGCAAGGATTTGGGAGAAAAGAATTCTATTTTGGGGGGATGAGGAACATTCGATAATGAAGTGAGTCAAATCTTACTCCAGGAAGCTGGTTATATAATCTCTACTGCATGCTGACCAGACAAAGGGATTGGTCTTCATGGTAATATGAGCTGCCATGAGTTTAGCTGTCTCCCGTCCCCGGGATCCACAGCTATTTCCAACACCATCATGGTTCATGCCAAACCTGGAAAAGGGGAGAAATATTATGATTTTTTTTTTTTTTTTTTAGTTCTGGAAGGGCCTTCCCCGTTCAAGGAAGATGGAAACCCAAAATGGGTGCGTGAGTAGCATAAAAGTTGCTTGCATAATGCACAAGCCCAACAATGGCAGGAGACTCACGTGTGCCCTATCTCGTGAGCAATGGTGAAAGCTGTCGCCAAGCCAAGGTCTTCATTGATGCTGCAGCTCCTTTCGCGTTCACACATGCCACCCACGGGGGCCAATCCTGGGAAAGGGAAAATGTTACTGTGGGAGGCGGAAGCGAAGTCTACCCACTGTGTGGCTCTAGCCCCCTTCCCAGTTCAATTTTTAGTGATGTTTACGATTTCAAAATGTTCATTAATTAGCTCATTTGTTAGAGCAGGAGTGGGCAACTATGGCCCTCTTTAGGACTTGTGGACTTCAACTCCCAGAATTCCCGAGCCAGCATAGCTGGCTCGGGAATTCTGGGAATTGAAGTCCATAGATCATAAAGGGGCCATAGTTGCCCACCCCTTTGTGAAAGTCCAATTAATAGGCATCACCTTAAAAACAACAACACATTTTCCGTATTATTAATTATATGAAGGCCATTATATGGCTGCCCTCCAGTTCCCCTACCTGAGAGTCTGTTACAGATTTCAAATTGCCACAACAGTCAATTCCACTTCACTATTTGAAACCTTTTGAGAGACTGAATGTTTTCATTCAGCCATTCTTTGCAAGCAATGTGCGAGGATGACTGTAGCTCGACAACTGTACTTAACTACAACTCCCAGAAGCCTTAGCTAATGAAACCATGCATAATTCTCCTCCTTAACCCATGCTACTACTATGTAAACCTACTCCCAGGCCAACTGTATCTGGAAAAGAAACCAGAATTAAAAATATCAGTTAGGTTACTGACTAATTGGTTGCATTCACCCCAAGATGCTAAACCTTAAATCAGATAAGCAAAATATCGCTGCCTTACCCATATAATGGGCTAACTAACAAATACACCTTCAGGTAGTCCTTGACTTACGACCAGAATGGAGCTGGTAAAGTGATTGCTGCGGTCGTTAATCAAACATAGCAGTCATTAAGTAAACCCATTGTCCCATGGAAGTAAATCCCAGTTTGGGTCCAAAAGGTCATTAATCATGGTCACATGACTGTGGGATGCTGCAAGCAGCTGTAAATGTGGGATAAATGAGTGCCTGAAATGCAGTCACATGACCGCAAGGCAGTTCTAGCCATCTGTACTTTAGAACCAGTTGTAAGTTCCTTTTTTGGGGGGGGGCGGTCCCTTGTAACTTCAAACAGTCACTAAGCATCTGGTCATAACTCAAGCACTACCTAATAGCTTAACACAGTATTTTGCATCAATCAACACATTAAAAAATGGTTGAGGATTCTAATGACACACTGGATCATGCTCTACCTACGTCTAGGGGATTGGGCAGAGACAAAAGATGAAAATGATGCAATTTATATGCAGGATGACACAACTGCTGAGTTTTCATAAGGACATCATGAAGCATATGTTGTCACGTTGACCGTGGCATTTGTTATAGACCAAGGGTCTCCAAAGCTGGCAACTTTAAGAGTTGTGAACATCAACTTGCTTAACATGGCTCACTAAAGAATTCTGGGAGTTTAAGTCCACAAGTCTTAAAGCTATCAAGTTTGGAGACCACTGTTATAGACACTACTGCAAACCCCATTTTGGCCTAGTTATTGGGTGGTACGATCTCAGCCCAAGTACATTTTTTCCATTTCAAAAAAAAAAAAAAAAAATCAGCATAAAAATTAGCATAGGCTATAATGATGAACATTTGATGGCACATTTTTTTTACCTACCTAAAGTTCCACAGGGTTTGTTTTTGTAAATGCAAATATCGTATCTAGGAGGGGAAGAGAAAAGAAACAAAGAAAAATGGCATGTTAGATCAGATTCCATTGCACTGATTAAGCTAGCTGTAATTAAGCTAGTAATCTGCAGGATTACTGCCCAGAAAATAATCACCAAATGAAGAATCCTATGAAAACACCATAGAGCGGGTGGGGTATGTGAGACTAAATTTTGACACCAATATTTGCATTTTGATCAGTGGCATGTTTACAACCATCTCCTGAATATAATGTCTGAATAAAAATAAATTGGGCCCTGAGATTCACCGTTGAAAGCCAGATGGGTAACTCTGGGCCAGTCTCAGCCCAACCCACCTCACAGGGTTATTGTTGGGAAAATAGGAGAAGGAAGGAGTATTAGGTATGTTTGCCACCTGGAGTTATTTATAAAAATAATAAAGGCGGGATATAAATAAGTCAATACAACTAAACTGGACTGCTGGGATGGATGAAAGCAACTTGATTTTAATCGTTGGAAACCACCCAATGTCATGTTAAGAATTCTGACCAAAGGTCTGTCAAATTCAACATCCCACCTTCTTCTGTGACTGATCAGAAACTTCAGGGAGAAAAACACACAGACCACGAAATCAAGAGATTTTCCTAGCATAGGTAGTCCTCACTTTATGGTCATAAGTGGGAACAGAATTTCCATTACTAAGCAAAGTGTTTGTTCAATAAGTTGCCCTTGATTTTACAAGCTTTATTCCCATAGCTGTTAAGCAAATCCCTGCAGTTGTGGTGAATCACACGGTCATTAAGTGAAAATTCCCCCCTTGATTTTGCTTGTTGGAAGCTGGCTGGGAACATTGCAAAGGGTGATCATAAGAGACTGGGGCACTGCAACCATCGTAAATGCATTCCGGTTGCCAAGCGCCCACATTTTGATCACGTGGCCACAGGCGTGCTGTGACAATTGTTACGGACGAGGACTGGTTGTAAATCATTATTTTTCCAGTGCTGTTGAAACTTTGAAAGGTTGCTAAATGAAGTTCAGGGCCTACCTGTACTTTGCTAAATGACTTTTAGAGGCACAGGATTGAAATATCCTGTTCCAATATCTCAGGGGCTGCCCCAAAGAAGAGGGAGTCAAGCTATTCTCCAAAGCACCTGAAGGCAGGACAAGAAGCAACAGATGGAAACTAATCAAGGAGAGAAGCAACCTATAACAGTGATGGCGAATCTTTTAGAGACCGAGTGCTCAAATTGCAACCCAAAACCCACTTATTTATCGCAAAGTGCCAGGGCCACATCAGCATTGTGGTGCCCTCGGGGGGGGGGCAGGGAAGTGCCTCTAAGTGCTGCCTCTGGCAAAAATCGGGGGCGCAAAAATGGGCCGCTGTGCTGCAAGGCGCAAAAACGGCTGCCGCCACAACGCAGGATGCAGATACAAGGCGCTGCACCATGCAAGAATGGGGCAGGGCTAGTGAGTAGGCACTAGTCCCGCCCATTTGCAGTGTGTGCATACTCACAGTCCTGTGTGCACATGCATGCATGTAAAATGCTTCCCCCTCCCTTTTCTTCCAGTCCACCAACTGAGAATGGTTGGTGACCTCTGCTGTACCACCTCTAGTCAAGCTTGATAGTCGGCCGCTTCGCCTCCTTTGTGCTGGGCGGGGCTCCTGCTCCGGATGGCGGTGGCGGCCTTATTATTGTTATTATTATTATAAAAGAAAACTAGGTCTTGGAGAGTTACGCATTCCCTGGGAATTTGATAAACTTTGTAATGGCACAGTCTCAGCTCAAGGAGATGGTAAGTTGAACTTAAGGCTTCCCCCCTCTGCTCAGTTAAGTCTCTTCTCCCCCACTCTGAGCATCACCAAAAAAGAAAGGTACAGGTAGTCCTCGACTTACAAACATTCATTTAGTGACCATTTAAAGCAGTGGTTCTCAACCTGTGGATTGGGACCCCATTTAGGGTCGAACAATCTTTTCACGGGGGTCGCCAAACAACGCAGTCCGCCATTTTTTCCCCCTTTTCCTTAGCTGTGCTACTCCCTTTTATTCTATTGGCTTTTGAAAGCCAATAGAATAGACTCTCTTGAATAGAGTCTAATTCTATTGGCTTTCAAAAGCCAATAGGAATTGTCCAGGCTGTCTCTGCCCTGCTGAGCCCGCCAAAAGTCCCATTCTGCAAACGGTGCTGCACCAGTTGAGTAGTCCTCGACTTACGACCAGTTGAGTAGTCCTTGACTTACGACCGGTTGAGTAGTCCTTGACTTACGACCGGTTGGGGGTTGCGACATTAAAAAGGTTGAGAACCACTGATTTAAAGATACAACAACACTGAAAAAAGTGACCTAGGGCGGTTGTTCACACTTATGATCGCTGCAGCATCCCCATAGTCACGTGATCAAAATTCGGACACTTTTGTTCAGTGACCATTCACAGTTGCACTGGTGCTGAAAAAAGAAACACATGATCATTTTTCACACTTACGTCCATTACAGCAACCCCATAATAATATGTTCAAAATTAGGAGGCTCGGCAACTGGCATGTATTTATGACGGTTGCAGTATCCTGGGGGGGGGGTGTCACGTGATCCCCTTTTGCGGCCTTCTGACAAGCAAAGTTAATGGGGAAGCCAGATTCTCTTAACAGCCGTGTTATTAATTTAACAACTGCAACGATCCGCTTAACAACTGTGGCAAGAAATGGGGCACAATTAGCTGAACAACGTTCGTGCTTGGCAACAGAAATGTGGGGCTCAATTGGTCGTAAGTCGAGAACTATCTATACTGGCATGAAAGCTTCTGCCCTTATTGCTGCTCTCTCTCTCTAACCCAGTGTTTCTCAACCTTGACAATTTTAAGGCATGTGGACTTCAACTCCCAGAATTCCACAGCCAGCATTGCTGGCTGTGGAATTCTGGGAGTTGAAGTCCACATGCCTTAAAATTGTCAAGGTTGAGAAACACTGCTCTAACCTCAACTGCCTCTCTTCTTAGTCACTGTCAGCCCACGGGGAAGAGATTTTAACAGATTTTACATATCCTGAGACTGTCCTTAAGACATTGTAGGAGGAAAGGGGAAAAAACATTTCAGCCAAGGATGACTTAAGCTCGTCTTACTCATAGGTTGGGGATGAGATGAAGCCAATGTTATGGGGCTACCACATGTTTGTGCCTTGGTTGGAGCAAGGAGGGAAAGGTCCTGCTGAAGACCAATGATAGACAGACACGAGACGGTATGTCAGGGATACACAACGGAAGCAAGGAAATTGTGAATCCATTTTCCTCTCTTGCGCTGAGCCCGACAGAGTGGGGGAAACTGGCAGCCATGTCTTTAAAGATGGAAACGCACCCAAATAACTGTAAAAGGAGGCACAGTATTCAAAAACTTGTTTGATTTTAACATTTTCACTAACTGGAAGGGTAAAGAGTTGCCACCAAATTGTTCTGTTCATCTGTTGTTGTTGTTGTTTTTTTTGGGGGGGGGTTTGCCAGCATGCGATTCAGGTGAGTTTTCTCTTTTTTGCAAATTTCAAGTTCATTACTTCTTATTTGATTTCACCACTTTTTTTTAAAGTCTGTTTGAAAATTCATAGGTGCTAACTATTGCACTTCTCTAAAACAGATTTCCCGGATATGTTTCCTTGTACCCTGTTTTGAAAAGAAACCTTTGTTACAAACATCAGAAAGGCAGATTCTACTTCAGTTCATGTAATATTTTGGGAAATACAAATTAAGCAGGTTTTCTCTGAAAGCAACTTGAGCATTTGCTATCCAACTGACTACTGCAATGTCATGGTTGTCAAGCATCCTTCTAATTGCCTATAAATCCTCGCAAACAACAGCGGTCAGACTTAGCATCCTTAGTAGCTGTCACTCAAGAGGTTGGTTCTTCCTTTTGCCTAAAACTTCACCCCATTTGATACCGCCCACTGCTGCAAAAAAAATGGCTTCCTAATTTGTGTGGCCTATAAATGGGATATGAATCTGGACAGATGGGCTAAACCTTAATTTTGTAAGTTTCCTTGGTGTTTCATCTCTTACTGACATCTGTGCCTTTTGCAAAAAAACAAACCAATGAACTCTTTCACCCTTCAAAAAAACCCAGATGCCAAACACAGCAGGATGTTATCTAGAGATGCGGAATTTATGAGACACAGAGAAGTTTTACAAGGCATTTGGGTTTTTGTCCAAGGTTTGGTTTTGTAAATATGCTCCAGGGACTCTGTGGGAAGGCCCACAAGCAATTGCTCAAGCAGTTGTGTTGAAAGACAAGACATTCCAAGTTAGCATACTTTTCTTCCCTTCCTTATCTTGCACATCTAGAATGAAGGGAGGCAAAAGATGTAGTTCCTCGGAAAGACGTAGTTCCCCAGAGAAACAGTGATTATCTTGCAGGATTTCAGAGCCGAGTCAGGCAGAGGAATATTCCAGCAAACAGAAGGAAAGAAATATGAAGATTTTATTTCATGAAAGTAAACTACAAAGAGGAACAGAAACTGTATTTCAACATAAGCCCTACAGATAATCCTTGATGTACGACCACAATTGTGAGCAAAAACTCTGTTACTAAGCAAGCTGGTCATTAAGTGAGCTGGGCCTGATTTTATGACCTTTTTTGCTGCGGCGAATTACTGCGGTTGTTAAATGACTCATGCAAATCTAGGTCCCCTCATTAACTCCGCTTGTCTGAAATTGGCTGGAAATGTTGCAGATGATGATCACACAACTTCAGGACGCTGCAACTACTATGAAGACATGTTGATTGCCAAGCACCCAAATTCTGATCATGGGACCAGGTGGTTGCTGCAACAGTCGTAAATGCAGGGACTGTTGTAAGCCAGTTTTTCATCACCATAACGTCGAATAGTCACTAAACAAGTGGTCGTAACTCGAGTAACAGCTTTTCATCTTCAACCCTACCTCCCCAAAATGAGAGGCTTACCTGGTGATCAAAACCGCAGTGTCATGGTTTGCGATGCCGTTGTCAGGAATGGCGTTCCCATCACCGCTGAGGCTCACAATAGCCTTCTGCCACTTGCAAAAGCTGTCAAGGGACTTCCCAGCGTGATGGTTGATTTCCAGGGTGGGCTGGAGAAAATGACAGGTCAGACAGTCTGAATGTGAATGATGTCATGAGGAACTAGCCTGCTCGTGGATGGTTTCTGGAGACCAATAAAGGAGAATATTTGTAGCTCAGGGTTGTCACGAGGGGTCCAGTTAACATCATGAGTGCTATCATCATTAGCACTGATGTTACTGAGTCTGGGTAATGAAACGTCTGCAAGAAAACAACCGAGCTCAGAGACCACCACGGAGCCCTCAATTTTTGGAGAATTTTCCTTGACATCTTGATACGCTCCTATTGGTCTGTTTTGGGACATAAGATGGGGCCTTCTTTGCAACTACATTTTGTTATTGATCTCCCTTCATGTTGACAATCTCCTCTTATATTACTGCATTACCTCCTCATCCTTTCCCACGTTATTTGGGGTCATTTCCAGAAAGGTTTTCTGGGGGAATAATTTCCTGCGCGGGAGGGGAAATTATATGAGCCTTTCCTTCTAGGAACCTCCTCGTTCCTTATTAGGGTCTCAAGTCATTGCATTTCTTCAGCTTTCTCTTTTTATTTAGTTCTAGATGGCTTTGAAAATGTTTAGTGGCACGATGGGGTGAAAACATTTTTCATATATAACTAGATTGCTTTGTGCCTCTGATCCATTCTCTCCAAGAATTAGCCTTGGGATTGGTGATGATTCTTCACAGTCTATTATGATCTTCCCTAATATTCCAAGCTTGGTGCTAGAGAAGATTCTTGGGAGTCCCTTGGACCATAAGGAGATCAAATCAGTCAATCCTAAAGAAAATCTAACTAGACCAGGGGTGTCAAACTCAATTTCATTGAGGGCCACATCAGCATTGCAGTTACCCTTGGGAGGGGTGGGGGAGTGTGGCCAGGGTGGGTGTGGCCTACCGGGTGGGCATGGATGGAGTGGGTGTGGCCTACTGGGTGGGCATGGCCAGCTCTACATCATTTGCATCAAGAGTGCCTGTGGAGGCCTGGGCAGGAGTGGGACAGATCTGAGGGTCTCTGGCAGAAGGGGGTGGGACTGGGGCAAGCGCCAAGGCATGGTCCATTTCTTCATTCCTCACAAAGGATGACACCTCCCCAGCATGCACCCAGGGGGTGGGGCCGACACAGCAGGGGCTGGTTTCTTGCTGTTTTTAGATGGCCTTGTAGAGCTAAGACTGAATGCATTTCAGCATAGATGGCCATCACAAAATTGTACATTGGCTCTCGGCCGGCCTGGGCCAGGGCCAAGGCAGTAGGGGCTGTTCCCCCACTGTTTCCAGGATGGCTTCGCGGGCCACATGAAACCATTTCGCGGGCTGCATCCAGCCCCTAGGCCTTGTGTTTGACATGTCTGAACTAGACTGTTCTTTGGAAGGACAGAGACTGAAACTAAAGCTCAAATACTTTAGCCATCAAATGAGAAGAGAGGATTCATTGGAAAAGGATTCATGTTGGGAAAGATAGATGGCAAAAGGAGAAGGGGAGGAATGGCAGAGGATGAGATGGTTAGATAGTGTCATCGATGCAATGAACATAAATTTGGGCAAACTCCAGGAGACAATGGAGGAGGGGGGGGGGGCTGGCATGCTATAATCCATACAACTTAGCAACTTAACAACTAGTCTTTCATTCCTAATGCTGAAGTAGTAGAGTAATTGAATGTTACTTTGTAGTACGTCCAGTCTTTACCAAAATACTATATAGATATATATTTAAAATAATCTATTCCTCCTCCTTCCTTTCGGAATTCCCTCCTTACCTGGTCCTCTGTCAGCAGGATAAGGCGGGTTACGAGAATGTTCACGATATTGCCCAAACTTGAGTCTTGGAAAAGTTTAGCAACCTGACCTCCAGGAAACAAGGAAACACCAGTGTTAAAAAGAAGATGGATTTAGCATCACGATTGATCAGAAATGGCATCTTTTGCAGGATTGCCAGAGGAACTTTTCAAGCTAAAATGAGAGGCTAGAGCAGTGGTTCTCAACCTGTGGGTCGGGACCCCATTTGGGGTCGAACGACCGTTTCATGGGGGTCGCCAAACAACGCAGTCCGCCATTTTCCCCCCCCTTTTCCTTAGCTGTGCTACTCCCTTTTATTCTATTGGCTTTTGAAAGCCAATAGAATAGACTCTCTTGAATAGAGTCTAATTCTATTGGCTTTCAAAAGCCAATAGGAATTGTCCAGCTGTCTCTGCCCTGCTGAGCCCGCCAAAAGTCCCATTCTGCAAACGGTGCTGCACCAGATGAGTAGTCCTCGACTTACGACCGGTTGAGTAGTCCTTGACTTATGACCGGTTGGGGGTCGCGGCATTAAAAAGGTTGAGAACCACTGGGCTAGAGGAATAAGGCATGTTTAAGGGAGATTTTGTGGTTAACCATGTCTCACTTCCACCAGTCTGCCAGGATGTTTTCTGCTCTGGTGAACACAGGCGCAGCACAGCTCCACAACACAGTCCTTTCAGCAGTTAAAAGAAGGCTCCACACCCATTTGTACTACTCAGGTGCTCCAGAGGACACAGACAAACCCCCAAGTGGCTTCAATGACTCTCTAAGGCAGCGGTTCTCAACCTATGGGTTGCGACCCCATTTGGGGTTGAACGACCATTTTACGGGGGTCGCCAAAGAACACGATCTGCCATTTTCCCCCCTCAGGGGGCGCCGCCGCGCATGCGTGCCGCGCATTGGGGTGGCGCCACGTATGCGTGCCGCGCCACGCATGCACGGCGTGTCCGTGTGATCGGGGGTCGCCGTATAAAAAGGTTGAGAACCACTGCTCTAAGGGAATGCAAATGACCAGCTGTCTGCAAGGAATATAAATCCTTCCATTCCCCACCATCCAGTCAGAGCTGAAGAAGCTTCTTGGATGAGAAGCGAAACATCTTCAAAGAAAAACAAGAAAGTCCAATTGCCTCTTGAAAAAGCCGCTTTGGGACAACCATGACCTGGGTGACTGAGAATCCAGATTAGTCAGCTATGGAGGCCACTATATCACAAAAATGGGAGCAGAAAATTATGGTAATACAGAGGGTCCTCTACTCACAATCATTCATTTAGTGACCGTTGCAACAGCACTAAAAAAAGTGACTTATGAAGGTTTTTCACACTTATGACCATTGCAGCATCCCCTGGTCATGTGATCAAAATTCCGATGCTCGGCAACTGGCTCATATTTATGGCAGTTGCAATGTCCCGGGGTCACGTGATCACCTTTTGCGACCTTCTGACAACAAAGTCAGTGGGGAAGCCAGATTCACTTAATGACTGTATTACTAACTTAACAACTGAAGTAATTCACTTATGTAACAACAACAAATGGCAAGAAAGGTAATAAAATGGGGCAAAATTCACTTAACAAGTGTCTTACTTTGCAACAGAAATTGTGGTCATAATTCGAGGACTACGTATAGTGTATGATGGTAAGGTATGTGTGAATGACTTGGGAGACAAATCTGCACCTAGATTGTGGTTCTTCCTCCTGTCTCCCAAGGATCTTCCCACACTGGAATTGGGTATGTCTAGTTTAACAAAGAGAAGGACGAGGGGGGACATGATAGCAGTCTTCCAATATCTCAGGGGCTGCCACAAAGAAGGGGGAGTCAAGCTATTCTCCAAAGGGCCTGAAGGCAGGACAAGAAGCAACGGATGGAAACTAATCAAGCAACCTAGAACTAAGGAGAAACTTCCTGACAGTTAGAACAATTAACCAGTGGAACAACCTGCCTCCAGAAGCTGTGAATGCTCCAACACTGGAAGTTTTCAAGAAGAGGCTGGACAGCCATTTGTCTGAAATGATATAGGGTTTCCGGCCTGAGCAGGGGGTTGGACTAGATGACCTCCAAGGTCCCTTCCAACTTTATTATTATTATTATTATTATTATTATTATTACTATTATTATTATTATTATTATTATTATTATTATGGATCATAGCACAGTCAGCCAGATGTTCAGACTGGATTTGGCATTTTGTCTACCTATCGAGTCCTTACCCAGGACCTGGGATAGGCAGATGTGGATGTTTGATGGTATTACAGATATCGTCGCAGGATGGAAGCAGTTCCTAATAAGGCCGCCTTTTGCAACTGACTAATAGCGAATTTGTCAATGCCAATTGTGTTCAAGTGGTGCTCCAGTTGTTTTGGGATTGCACCCAAGGAGCCTATGACTATTGGTACTACCCTTGCTTGCTTTTGCCACAGTCTTTCTATTTCTATTTGTAGGTCTTTGTATTTTGTTATCTTCTCCAGTTCCTTCTCGTCTATTCTGCTGTCTCCAGGCACTGCCACGTCCACTATCCAGACTTTTTTGTCTTTCTTATCGACAATTGTTAAGTTTGGGGTGTTATGTTGCAGGTGCTTGTCTGTTTGAATTCTGAAGTCCCAGAGCAGTTTAATTTTATCATTTTCTATGACTTTCTCTATTTCATGATCTCACCAGTTTTTGCTTATAGGCAAATGATATTTTTTGCAGATCTTCCAATGCACCATTGTTGCTACTTTGTCAAGTCGCTGCTTGTAGTCAGTCTGTGCGATCTTCTTGTTGTTGTTGTTGTTGTTATTATTATTATTATTATTATTATTAGTAGTAGTAGTAGTAGTAGTAGTAGTAGTAGTGGGGTAAAGGTCTTGGTTATAATACTTACAATATTCATGATAGCCAGGATGTACTCCTCTATGTCTCGTCGGCCGTGGTAGCCCACCATCATCTTATCAGCCACCACAAGAGTCTCCACATAACGCTCAGTGCTGACTGACCTCTTCAGAGGCAGTTGCCCCCTTTGAGAAAAGTTGCCCAGGGTCTTCAAAGGGGAGGGTTTCAGTCGCAACCACCAGGGTCTACCTTTCCATGGCTTCTCATCTGCAGGGAAATAGCGATAAGGTTTTTAGCACTTTCTCTTCTTCCTCTCCCCTCGGACCCCCAATACTTCACAAAGCAAAACCAATTGACTTCTTATGCCTGGAATTGCTTCCAACCCACACCTTTAGCAAATTCAACGATAAACCATCACAGTGCTTGGCTTTAGCTTAATGCCAAAGGAATCCTGCAAAAAGATTCCTCTCAGTATAACTACAGGGACCCATTAAAGAATGGTTGAAATTATTGGATGGGTCAATATCATTTGATAAAGGAAATTAAAGCAATTGGATAAAATGGAATTCAGAGGGTTTTTTTTTTAAAAAAATGGGTTTCTCCGGACACTTTGCTAATCTGGAAAGGGAAGGGAAGGGAAGGGAAGAAAGGAAGGGGAAGGGGAAGGGAAGCCACCTTCCCCAGGTCTTGCAAGGAAACAGCTGTGGGTAACCTGGGGAAGAAAGTCTCGTGCATCCAGCAGCTGCCTTGTGAAGAGACAGATAAGATAAGATAACCTTTATTGTCATTTTTTTTTTTTACCTATGGGCACAACGGCACACATAAAAAATGAAATTTAGTTGCCCGCTCTCAAAGTGAAACACATACATGACACACACCTAAACATACTATATACAACATATGTATAGACCCACCACCCCTACATATATGTAACAAATAAATATTAAATACTGTCCATCTTGAATGTAGAACGGAAGGAGGAAGCTTGACAGTTCACAAGGTTAATGCTGTATGGAACAAAACTGTGACTGAATCTGGATGTTCTGCTACAGATGCCATGAAGCCTCCTCCCAGACAGGGCAGGAATGTGTGGTCAGTAACGGGAGCAAGACAATTGTGAAGGTCAGTTAGGGCAGCAAGGACTGTGAAATGCAGGGGGCCAAAAGAGCATAGATGGGCAGGGAAGTAGGTGGGTGGCTGGATGGCTGTTGAAAGACCCCTGCGATTATAATTGTGGGCAGGCTGCCAAGCAACCCAACTATGATCACATGATCATGGAGGCATTGCCATGGCCATAACTTCATAGACTGGCCATAAGTCCCTTTCTTCAGTGCTGCTATAATGATCGCTGAATGAATGGTCGTAGGTTGAGGACTACCTGTAATATGCAGGAATAGAGAGCTTCAAAAAACGCATTCTGCTCTCAGGCCTCTCCAAAATTTAAGTGCTGGGCCTTTCCAAGATATTAGCGTCTGAATATATGCCCAAGAAAGCTGACCAGTGACACCTGTGGTCGTTTTATTTACCCAAAATTCATGTATTGTCCAGAGTCCCTCTATAAAGGAGATGGTCAGTTTCCAAATCTGATAAGTATATAATAAATAAAATGTAAGTATAGATATCGCTAAGAAGTTGTTACTATAAATAATGAGGAATGAAATGATTAAATCTGGGGATAATGTACGTCACAAAAACTAAATGCTCTTTTCTCCAGATGCCACTAAGAAGCCAAGTGGTCTGCTCTTAACCTTCAAAAGCAGACTTCCTCTGGCCTACCTGGATTAGCCATTATTATCCAGAAACAGGCATGCATGTTGGCTTTTGCATGAAACATCAACAGTGAAACCAAATCTGGAATGGGAGGGAGGCAAGGCGGTGTTTGATGGTAAGGACCTGAATACGAAGCGCCCACTTCTTGTTCCAAGATTACATTTGTCCAGTAGTTCTTGTTTTCCAAGAAACAAATTGGAAACAGATTTTCCCTCTTTTTCAGCCGGGGAATATAGCGCACTATCAATACACAAAGGGTAAGCTTGGCAGCTTTAATGTGAAAAAAATGTCAGACATCCAAGGTCAGCTGGCTTACTCTCCTCTCCTCCTTCCGGAAACTGGGAATCTAATCCCAAGAATTCCAGCATCACAATTTAGTGGTGGTATGTGTCTCTTTCCCTTCTCCCTGACCACATTTCAAGTCTACAACTACATCCTTGAACCAAATATCTGCTGGAGTAAAACATTTTTAAACTAGCTGGATGGCTTTTAAAGTTCTTGCCTTAACGTGATTGACATTTGTGGTGTCTCCTCCATTTAATCTAATCCCGTCTAGTAACTGCCCTGAATTTAATGCAAATAAAAAAAAAAAAATAAGTGTGGCTTTGTGGTTGCCAAAAGGAACTTCAATAACAGTCTTACATGTTGATAATAACTTTCTGTTGCCTCCCAGCCTCTCTCACTTTGCGTAATTTTTGTGTGTTTTGCTAATCACAGGAAGGGTAGAAAATATAAGAATGTCCCCCCCCTCCCTTAAGTCTTATTTCTCTCTATATATAAAACTTCAGATAATAAGCATCCAAATGTCCTTTAAAGGACTTTTTTTTTTAAAAAAATGAGGGCTAGAAACTTGAATACAAAAATATAGTAGAAAACACAATGAGACGTTTCTTTATCAAACGCTGTCAAATAGAGCTCCTACCTAACACACCACAAGCTGTATCCATATGTGGGTGCTGGAGGGATGACCGTTTGTAGATCACATGCGGGCTTCCTTCTCGTCCTTGTTCCCCACTGATATTGACCCCAAGGGTCAGGGGTTCAATAAAATATTCATCATCTTCTGCAATTATCACACCATGCTGGAACAAAGAGAGGAAATTGCCTGTTTTGCATTCAGTAAAAAGAACACAACTAATAGGATGGAGATTCCCAGTCATCCAGTTCATGGCTGTCCCAAAGGTGCTTTTTCAAGAGGCGACTGGATTTTCTTTGTTTTTTTTCCTTGAAGACATTTTGCTTCTCATCCAAGAAGCTTCTTCAGTTCTGACTGAAGAACGGGCTCTTAGTCAGAACTGAGGAAGCTTCTTGTGGATGAGAAACGAGACGTCTTCAAGGAATTCAGTCTGATGTCTCTGTTCTCCCACTTTGTTTAAATGGGGTGATTACCAGATGCAGACTTGGTTATTTTTTTAGATCAATGTCTTGCCTATTCTTCAGGCGCTCAGCGCAGGATATTCAGCTTATTTTCCCCACGACAACACCCTTTTGAAACAGGTTGGGGAGAGAAGAAGTAACAGTCCAGGGTCACCAAATAAGCTTCCACAGCAGATAGGGAGTTTGAACCACCCAGTGCCAGTCCAGCATCCTCCCAATCTGAGGATCCAGATTGTTGGGGGCAATATGCTGACTCTGTAAACTGCTTAGAGAAGGCTGTAAAAGCACCGTGAAGCAGTATATAAGTCTATTGCTATATCAAAGGCTCTTATACATTCCTTGTCTCTTAGAGATTTCCGTAGCTTCGGCTTAACTTGAGATAACTGCAGAAAAACAAAAACTATGACAACAAAGAATAAGAGGATAGCAGGGGTGTTATTTCCCCCCTCTAAAAGCAGTTCTTAAGAAATTTAGCAAATTTAAATAGCAGCTGCTCTTTTCAAACCCCCAGCTTCTGCCAGCCTCACCACAACAAACCCTGAATCGCTCTTGTGTGCCTGCAGCTAAGCATTCAACTTCAGCCACCCTGCAAGGGGGTGTGATGGGCCAGCCGTGGTTTCTCACTTCCTATGAAAGCTTTGTAGTTCTTGGCCAGGGGCCATCATTCCAAACACAAGCGAGGTGGTATGAGGATAGTTTGGCGGGATGTTGCCAGAAACTCAAGGATCAGTTGATGAAGGCAGCTGAGAAGGGGGAAGAAAACTCTTGGCGTGGAGTGCAGCAGTTGGGGCATGTGTGTTTGTGGTACGGGAGGGAGGGAGGGGGGGCAGAGGCTCCGAGGGACGCTTATAAAATTCTCTTCAAATTACCTGGCCTCATTTCCGAAATGGAACCACTGCATTAGGAATTTAAACAAATGGGTGGGATTTGGCAATCCAGTGCATTTTAGCTAAACATGAGAAGAAACTTCCTAATGGGAGAAGCTGTTTGGCAACGAAGCAGTTTGAGCAATGTTAAAACGAGGATTCGGCAGGCATTTGCTTTGATGGAGCAGCAACTGAGCAGCCTGAAGTCTAGGAGGAAGGAGAGAGGTCACGGTTGTTACCGGATCTGGGGTGGCAAAAATATGGATTGCGGCCAGAGGGCGGCAAAGAGATGGAGAAAACTAACTCTTTGCTGTCATTTTTTAATGAAGAGAAGGACGAAGGGGGGGGGGGGACATGATAGCAGTGTTCCAATATCTCAGAGGCTGCCCCAAAGAAGACGGAGTCAAGCTATTCTCCAAAGCGCCTGAAAGCAGGACAAGAAGCAATGGGTGGAAACTAACCAAAGAGAGAAGCAAACTAGAACTAAGGAGAAACTTCCTGACAGTTAGAACAATTAACCAGTGAACAACCTGCCTCCAGAAGCGGTGAATGCTCCAACACCAGTAGTGGGATTCAAATATGTGAACAACCAGTTCTCTGTGTGGATGCTACTTCCGGAAGTCCATTCTGGGCCTGGGCAACAAAAAATTAGCTACCGGTTCTGCCGAACTGGTGCAAACTGGCTGAATCCCATCACTGTCCAACACTAGAAGTTTTTAAGAAGAGACTGGACAACCATTTGTCTGAAATGGTATAGTTTCCTGCCTGAGTAGGGGGTTGGACTAGAAGACCTCCAACGTCCCTTCCAACCCTGTTATTCTGTCATCTGGTGATCAGCTGGATTTTTGCAGAAGGAATCTGGCGGCTTTATCTTTGACCCTTTTCTTCTGGCGAACGTTTTGCCTTCCCAGCTGCTATTTCTTGCCCTACTTGTGGTTCTTGTGGTTTGCAAATAGCCATCACAATTACAGCTTGCTTGTAGATGTTTTGGGGAGAAGAAAGAATTTAATCACACTCCCCTCTCCCCATAGGCAAATCACTTTTTTTACAGGTAGTCCTTGACTTATGGCCTCAAAGCAAGACAGTTAAGTGAGTTTTGCCCCATTTTACAACCTTTCTTGCAACAGTTGTTAAGTGAATAGATGTTGGTTATCGAGTGCCTAAATTTTGATCACATGCCCATGGGGATGTTGTGACAGTTGTTCAGTGTGAGGACTGGTTGCAAGTCACTTTATTCAGTGCTGTTGTAACTAAGAACAGTTGCTCAATGAATCAATGTAAGTCAAGGACTACCTGTAAGGTTATGTTTGTACTGAGCTACAATTTCTTCCATTTGATCAGACCCAGCTGCTCTGAAGTGATTCAGCATGTCTTTTGCGGCCTGGCAAAAACGTCACTCAAAATGACCAGCGCATTGTTGTTTTGTCAATCCCACCAGCTGTTAGGAAGAAAACCAGACACTTACCAGACCGTTACAATTACTGATAGCAACTTTTGAGTTCAGATACTCATCTTGTAAATGACCAGCATAGTGGCAATCTTCGTGGAACTCATGTTGATAGTCTACTCCACCTCTTTTCCAATACTCCACTCGGAAGCGCCTTGCCAGCAAGTGGGTATGCAACGTCAAGTTGAGGAGGAACTGGGTCCGGTGAGCAGAGACCTTGTAAAAGACATGCTGTTCAGGCATGTCATAGGAGGGGTGGCCTGCACTCCGGCGGGACCTCCATTTCCGATGGCTTTTTATGTCAAAACTGAGAAAGTCACCATTCTGATCCACCTGGATGGGGAAGGCTATCTCGTAGTGGTTGAGGTTGGAGAGAAATTCTTCTGTGAAGGCAGAAGAGGACATGCAAGCGTAACTAAGGAGGGTGCTCTTTTAACCTTTTAGTGCCTTGGACCCTTCTGAAAGTTTGATAAGACCTATGTATCTGATCTCAGAAAAAATGTGTTTAGATGCGTAAAATAAAATACATACAGTAGTTACACACTGGATTTCAGAGAAAACTAGTTATACAGGCAGTCCTTGGCTTATGACAATTGAGCCCAAGTTTCTGTTGCTAGGCGGAACAGCGGTTAAGTGAATTTTGCCCCATCTTACGACCCATCTTGCCACAGCTGTTAAGTGAATCACTGCAGCTATTAAGTTAGTAACGTAATTGTTAAGTGCATCTGGCTTCCCTGTTGACTTTACTTGTCAGAAGGTCATAAAAGGTGATCACATGACTCAGGGACATTGCAACTGTCATAAATACATGCCAGTTGCCAAATGTCTGAATTTTGATCACATGGCCACAGGGATGCTGCAATGTTCATAAGTGTGAGAAATGATCCTAAGCCACTTTTTTCAGTATTGTTGTAACTTTGAACAGTCACTCAATCAACTGTTGTAAGTCAAGGACTATCTGTACTCAAGTTTGAATTATGGTGGTGGTATAAATTATTGTGTATACCATGGACAGCCAGAGCAACTAACAGAGGTGCTGAATTAATATAAAACCAGTCACTTCACTAGAAGCCAAAATCACAAAACTACATCTGATTTACTTGGGTCATGTTACGCATGCAAATTCATCGGAGAAGACAGTGGTGTTAGGAATGGTTAATGGAACAAGAAGGGGCAAGCAAAGAACATGCCCGCTTGATAACATCAAAACTAATACAAAGATCAACATCCAGCAACTGAAAGATGCTGTGCTTGACAGGGTAGCATGGAGACCCCTTGCCTATAACTTCCCCAAGAGTCGGAAACGACTGAACAGTTATAACAACAACTCAACTTTATTTTTCAGAAAGATTTAAAAATAACAAATATATAATATAGGAATATATATGCTTCTTTATTAATCTGTTAACTCAACAACAAGGCAATAAATAAATTTAAAAGATGGACAAGTTAGTGAAAATAAAGTTGTAATTTTTTCCCATCCAGGTTTTTGGGACTGTTTGTGTGCATAGAAGCATAACAATATTTTATTTTTATCAGACATTTGGTGATACTGTTCTGTTAATACAGATGTGTACCTTGATTAAGGGAAAGATTAAAATGATCTGATAGATTGTGCAGTATTTCTCCTTTTGTGCCCTATCGCTCCGGATAATTCCTTGGGAACGTTCACCTACCTGTTCTATTTTAGGATTTATTTTCACAGAATAATGGTGAAACATGCACTACGAATGCAATGTTAACGGCTAGCAGCTGAATGTTAGCAGGGTGACCTTTGCAGAAACAAGACTCAAGGTCCTGTGGGGCAGTGAGCCATATACTGCCCACCCTGCCTTGGCTTAAGGATTAGAAATACAAGATTTCAAAGATCATGAACCAGTGGTGGCGAACCTATGGCACGGGTGCCAGAGGCGGCACTCAGAGCCCTTTCTGTGGGCACACATGCCTTTGCCCCAGCCTTGCCTCCACCCACGACCCCCTCCTCACCAGCATCCTCCCTGGAGGAGAGTTGCTCCTGAGTGTGGCCCATGCGGAGCAATGCAGCCAAGGACATGGCAGCCAGGCAGCGTAGACAAGACTCTGCCCTCACGCCCCAACGTGCACAGTTGATGCTGCAGGGTGTGGGCAGAGGGCGTGGCCACCATGGTGCTGCTGGGCTGCCTGGGCAATCTGCGGCAGGCCCTGGAGGCGGTGAGTGGCCCTACGGGCAGGCAGGGTAGGGTGGAGCGGGGACGGGGCAGGGGGTGGAGCAGGGGCAGGGCCAGTTTTGGGGCACTCGGTCTGTAAAAGGTTCACCATCACTGTCACGAACCATGATAGCACTTTGTGTTTTGGACCAGTAACACTGTACCTTGTGACTGAAAAGTGTAGCCAGGAAGGTTGCCTGTAGACATGGTAGAGACGAGTGTCCAGGTGAGAAATCTCCAGACTGTTGCCATCTTGGGCGGCGGTGCTCTTGATAGTGTCAGCTAGCTTGGACCAAGTTGACCGACTCTGCCCCAACATTTCTTTCTTTGAGCCACCACTTAAGCCACTGCAAGAGAGGTTCCAGGGTCCTTCGTGGTCATCCTCAGCCACTCTCTGGAAGGCAGTGAGGATGGGGGGATGTTTAAGGCGTGTTGAAGCAGGATCTTGTCCTTCAGCATATGCCAATTCTCTGCAGCATTGCACTGGAGGAAGTGGGGACCACAGTAGCAGGGGGCAGAGGAGGAGAAGGATAGAGTTGGGGGGAGGGGAAAAACAACAGGGAATATTAAAATAACATTTTAGCCGGGCAGAGCGGTGATGGAAAAACAGAGCTGAAACTTATCTCACTCTTTCATATGTGATGAACTGAGGTTTACTAAGTTAAGACACCAGGCTGGAAGGCTGTGAGTTCTAGCCTTTCTTGGGCACAAAGCCAATTGGGTGACCTTGAGCCAGACATTCTGTCTCAGCCCTAGGAACGAGGCAATGGCAAACCACTTCTAAAAAAAAAAACTGCCAAGAAAACTGTAGGGATTTGTCCAGGCAGTCTCTGAGAATTGGACATGACTGAACAAAAGGGGGGGGGAAAGGCATGTGTGCAGAGCATAAAAAGAAGCATGGCGCTTCAAACTTTTTTTAAAAAAAAAAAAAGTTTTGGAACAAAATTGAATACAAATGGGCCAATGCTTTAATGGGAAAACGTGTTAAAATTTCTGCATTTCAGTGGCTTTTTTCTCTTGAAACCAATGGAGAACAGATGAAGAGAACGAAGACTGAAAAGCAAAAAGCGATTCAGAGATATTAAATGGATGTTGTACAGAAAGAAAAATATTAGCAGAGGAGAAGAAGAAAGAGAAGGGAAGAAGGAATGAAAACAGATTTGAGCAGTGCTTTTTTTGTAAAAAAAAAAAAAAAAAAAGGAGCCGGAACTCACACATGTCATACAACCCGCCTTGCCTATCCTATAAGGCTCCATCCAAAAAAGGTGCCGGAACTCGGTTCTGGGCGTTCTATGACAAAAAAAGCCCTGGATTTGAGCAGACTGGAGGGAAATAGAAGGTTGGCAAAGTAATGGATGGAAGAGCAAAGCAGAACAGGTTAATGGATCACGGGAAGGAAAAGCAATGAGACAGAAAAAAAAAGAGAAATTCAGCTGATAGTGTAGAGAAGAAAAGGAAAGAAAAAGGAATACCAAGGAAGGAATTCAGTTCAGAGCATGCCTGTCTGAAGTCAGCATTTTTCTTTTGTCAGTGTTCCAGGATTTCCAGGCTGAGGCCTGGTTTACCTCAGCTTCATAATTGCCTCGCATTTCAGTGTGTGAAGCAGCTTCCCTTGGGCGCTCATGAGTAATTACTTCTCATTACCCTTCAGTAACTCCCAGTCCCAGCTGATGGACACCCAACCCAATGCCTCTCCCCCACCAGCCTGTCTTTTAACCGCATCCCCCCCCCCCAAGCCTCTTGTCCTGTTGTATTTTTCGTCTGGTGCTTTAAATTTCTGCAGATTCAGGAAATAGCTGGCTCAGCCTTCCTACTTGGTGTCCTCCAGATGTGCTGGAACATGTAGCAGAATTTCCACTCGGCCTATTTGGACTTGTCTGGTGGCATCTGGGAAGCGCCAGGTTGGAGAAGGTTGTCTTAAAACAGGGACTGTCATACCAGAGCTACAAAATCACAAACATTAGAGGACAGCAAAGAGCTTGAGTAAGCGCTCTTTGCTGCCCTCTAGTGCATGTCTGAATTTTGGCAATGCAGATACAGTTACTTTGTTGTAGACCTTTCCTTTTCTCTCCCCCCACCCTCCTCTTCTTCCTCCAAACATATTGTTGTGGAGGAGAGGAAGGAAGGGCAGCTATTCTTCCTTTCACCATTGGAGCTGGAGAGAATTTAGCCATTTGGCTCAGTCTCCAGTTTGAGAAGATGTTAATGGAAAGCATATGAGGATTGATTTTGTCTCTTTTTGTGCTACAAAGCAAATCAGGACATTTTCTGCAGGGCTTTCCATCTTGTAGTTCATGTCTGCAGAATGGAACCTGTGATTTATTCAATATTTTGAAGATGTCAAAGAGAATGAAGAAAATCCTGAGGGAACCCACTACCTCAATTTCTCCTTTTCTCCGAGTTTTTATTTATTTATTTATTTATTTATGAGACTTATATACCGCTTTAAGTGCAAGCACTCTCTAAGCGGTGTACACCAGTAAGCAATGTATATATATATATTTACATTGCCCCCAACAATCTGGGTCCTCATTTTACCTACCCCGGAAGGATGGAAGGCTGAGTCAACCTTGAGCCGGTGAGATTTGAACCGCTGACCTGCTGAACACAGTCAGCTAAAGTGGCCTGCAGTACTGCACTCTAACTGCTGCGCCACCTCGGCTCTTTAGTTTTCCCTAAATCCTCTCCTTTATGGTAGTCAGAAAGTTGGTTAGGGAAAATCCACCTACCCTCTGGTGCCATCACCACAGCACCTCCAGGGCAGATGCACATGGGAAGAACCTTCTTGGATTAAACCGAGATAATCTCAGTTTATCTCAGCCTGATACTGTACTTTCTATAAATGCTGGGACTATCTTTCCCAGAATTCCACCTGCTACATATTTGGAAGGCACTGTGCCCAGACAAAGGCAACTGGGAAGCTTACAAACAAAACTGGAATCATTCCAGATCTTTTCTGCTTGTTCTCCAACAATTGTGACTTGAGATATTGCACAGTACAGGAACAAAATAATTTAACCATCTGCTATGAATTCACTTTAGGAATCACCTACAGGTAGTCCTCGAGTAATGACTATAATGGAGCCTGCCCATTACAGTCATAATGGTTGTAAAATAGTACAGTCAGATAACCTGATTCTACAACCTTTTTTGTGACAGTCATTAAGCAAACACAGCAGTCATAAAATGAACACCACGGTTGTTAAGCAAATGCTGTGGCTGTTAAGTGAACCCATGGGTGCAATTTCTCTGAAAACTGGAAGTTAGTACTGCTTTCCGGTAAAACTGTTGTAAAACGTGGACATGTAACCATGAGACACTGCAATGTCCATAAATGCAGCCATGTTGCCAAGCACTCAAAGTCATGTGACTGCAAGGAGGGGCACTGTCGGAATTTTGGATCCAGGTCATAAGTCCTCTTTGTGGGTTAGTCATAACAAAGCATTTCTCACAATGTCAGCCTCTCCATCTGCAGTGCTACAATTTGGCCATATGTAGGTGGGTGGGTGGGTGGAAGGAAGGAAGGAAGGAAATATATTTGAACAAATGGAAAGAGTGAGTAGAAAGAAAGTAGATTTGAACTGATGGAATATAGTAGAAGAAGAAAAAAAGAAAGGGTAGGATATAAATCTAATTAATAAAATAATAAATAAATCAAATTTACTCTCTGTCATTCCAGAGGACAAGACTAGGAAGCAAGCAATGATAATTTTCTACCAGTGTATTGCTTTCCTCTCCTAAAATAACTGCATTAGTTCACATTTTAATATTCTGCATAATGATATATTTTTCTGTGTACATTTTTCACATATACAAATACATCCACACATATACACATACATACACTTGACAGCATTTCTGGCATGATATATTTGCGATATAGAAGCTTTGAACATATTTTTTTCAGTTCCATGCTTTTCTGTCCACAGTCATCTCATACCAGACTTTTTTTATACTTGTTATTTTTAAGAACTTCATGGCAAAATTTAGCAAAATGTAAAGGCAGAATTGTAATTTCACTTTGGTTGAAGTATTTATCTTGGATGTGCAGATTAGGTACAATCCAAAGGAAGTAAATTCTTCTCCCTGTGTGGATAGGGCCCAAATTAATGGGTTCAATTAATTAAAAGGGATTTTAGTTGTTTTAAGGATTTTTTTTGATGATACGAGTGACTCACTGGTAGAAAGCCTGCTTTAGAAGGTGGTGGGTTTTCTTTTGTAGGAAGGTTTAAGCAGAAAGAGGTAATCTATTTGCTGCATTTATGTGCAGCGCAAAGGGATGTTAGTTACATTTTAAGAAGGATTTGTTGATGATAGGATGGTTCATCGGTTAAAAAAAACTGCTTTAAAATTGGTGGACTTGCTTTCATACAAAAGTTTAAGTAAAAAGAGGTCATCTAGCAGGATACCTATTTGTTTGTTTGATTGATTGATTGATGTGCTGCTCATTTTGTCCTGAGGTGATTTTGGGCAGCTTACAAACATTAAAAGCTAAAACAGTAATAAGAATAATCAAAATATAACATTAAAAGATTAAAAGATGGGGGGGAGGGAGAAAAGACCATGAAGACAACAGGTGGAGTTTCCCTCAATCTACTAAACACCTCCAGAGTGATGACCCAGCCCACTGGCGGTGCCAGGTCTTCAGGCCCTTATGGAAGGTCAGGAGCCATGGCAGAGAAAGCTCTTCTGGACCCAGCCCGCCAAATTTCTTGCCTCACAGGGTGAATAGCATGTCCTCTGCTGGCATAGGTGGTAGCCCCCCCCCCAAACTTTAAAATTCTAGTTTCACTTCCGCTTTTGCATATCTATTAAAGGAGCAGAATGTATGCATATTTCCCCAAAGCATGAGCTCCCAAACATCTGGATTCTAATCTTGACCCACTTCCAACTTTTTGAACGCTAAACCTCTTCTATTAAGCTCTTGTTATTTGCACTTCTAATCCACAAGATGTAAACTCTGGCTTTTCATCTTGACAAATGTTTATTTGAATGATTAAAAGAATCTGTTCCAAGGAATTAATTAAATGGGGTGGTGGTAGTGGTGCTGGTGGTTGGAGTTTTTTATTTTATTTTGGATGGGGGAGGTGGGGGTGGGTGGGTGGGAAGGCAGATGTTTTCCAGGATCTAATCTGAGGAACATATGATTTGTAGATGCCCTGCCAGCTATCCAGCAGCTCTTGCAAAATTAGCACCACCGTTAATTTTGTTGTTCCAGGAGGGTATTTTGGAAAGCCATCAAGAAAAAAAAGGGAGAGGTTGCCATATACACCGAAAAATTAAAAAAGCCGAAGAGATAAGAGATAGACAGAGAAGCGAGCTTCTAAGTCAGAGGGCAGGGCAGGGCAAAGAAAAGCAGACATATAATTCCACACCGCCTGACAGGCTGCCACAGAAGACAGGTAATTAAAAGCAGACCAAAAAGAAAAAGTCAGAGCAAATGTCTTGAGGGAGATGGAAATTGCAACTCTGCAACCAGATGGTGGAGGCTAGGCTTCCGCGAAAGGAGCAGCAGCCCAAACTGCTGGCTCGCGAGAAAACAAGGACAGGCCGTTTTCTGCATACGTGTGAAGCTTTGGGAACATCTGGCGAGCACTGCCCCCCCCCATGCTTCCCCACCCGCCCAGAAGGTGAGGAATCCTGCCCGATTTCAGGACCTTACCGCTCTCCAACTCCAAAGGAAGTGGGGGGAATCTCAGCTGGAGCAACCTTGGCGGCCGTGCTCAGCACCTCCAGCTCGATAGCCTGGCAGTCCCGATCCTGGTGCGGGATTTTGAGCCTTGCTGGGATGGCAAACTCCACGGAGCCAGGGCTGGAGAGGGGTGGGGTGGGGGGCTGGAGCAGAGAGAAAGAATAATTTTGCTTACCCTTTCTGAAAGTGGGCTGTATTTTTTTTTTCTCTTGGCTGCCCCAAATTCGTTTTTTTTTTCCTGTTGCCAGAAAGTGCTCCAGACTTGAGGGCAAGTTTTTTTTTTTTTCCTAAGCCACAGCTGGAGGAGGTGGGGAAGAAAAAAGAAAGAGAAAGAAGGAAAGAAGGAGTTTTTTTAAAAAAAAGAAAGAAAAGAAAAAAGAAAAGAAAGGCAGGCAGGCAGGCAGCTCTCAAGCTAACGGGTTACAGGGAATGAGGAAGGCTCTTTTCCAAATACAAAAGGTCTGTGAGAGAGAGGTTAGGAAGCAGTGTGGAGTGCAATAGGTTGCTTAAAAAAAAGAAAAAAAAGAGAGGAAACTCTTGCCAGGCTAAATTAAAAAAAAAAAAGAAAGAAAGAAATCCACTCTGCCTTTCACCAAAAGTTAACTCCTCCTTCTCCACTGACGCCATCTAAAGGCAGGTCTTTTTTGCTGTGATAGGATCAAGTCACCGTGAAAAGCAGGATCAGGACAAGTTACTTCAATTGCCCCTCCAAAGAAAGACTGTGTTTTTGTTTTTTTTTCAATGGCGATTTTCAAAATATTTAAAAATAAATTTCACAACTAGCTGTAACAAGCCCAGTATTGCTTAGCCTTTGAAAGTGGAGCTTATCTTGACATTATAAATCGAAGTTCAATTTTAAAAGAAGCTGCAAGATTCTCGGTGCTTCTTTGCTTCAACAATTCTGTTAAAACTTTTCCATGAAAAGGTTAAGAGCAGGGGTCTTCAAACTTGGCTGGCTGAGGAATTCTGGGAGTTGAAGTCCACAAGTCATAAAAGAGTCAAGTTTGAAGACCCCTGGTTAAGAGCATTAACAGTAGCCTGTTTAGTAGAGGATGCCCAGCAAATATTCCAGTTCCCACTTTTATACAAAGTTGTTATTTTAATGTCACCTCTTGTGGCAGTGAGTTCCATCTGCCCTATTTTTTGGCATGAGGCACTGCAGTAGTACGTAAATTAAGTATTTTTTTAATAGTAATGTAGGTAAATGTTTAATATTTTTAATGTTTTTATATTTATGATTTTAATTATAAGCCGCACAGAGTTGCTTTGCAGATGGGCAGCATATATATTTAATGAATGAATAAATGACAGGAAGAGGGGAAAAATGACACACTTCTTTTCCACCCAAGTTGAGATAATTACTAATTCACGTAAAAGCTATCACAGAAAAAATAATTTTGGGGGGGGAAAGGATGTTTTACGTAGTGGAATAAAAGGTAGGTGGGGACTTTGGTCTGATGATCTGATACAAAACCATAGAAGTTAGTGGCATTTCTAGTCTTTTTTAAATGGATGTTTTGTATTAAAGTTCCAATTAAGAATAAGAATTCTTAATAAAACTGATAAACCTGTGTCTCCAATGGAGCCTTCAAGTTTAGAAATATATGTGCAATTCCTGAACATGCCCCATATTCATGACTTGATTGGGTGCAGGAGCTGGCCTATTTGTTTATTTGTTTGTTTAAATCCCATCTTCATTATTTTTCTGAATAAAGTCACCCAGCCACCTTTCATACCTAAGGCAGGACTAAAATTCAAAGTCTCCTGATGATGAGCCCCAGAAGATAGGCTCAAGATCCATCTGGATCTTGGCAGACTAGGTCCTATCTAACAAAATGAAATTCAGTGTAGAGAAAAGTAAAGTTTTACATTTAGGCAAGAAAAACCAAATGTATAGATACAGATTAGGTGACAGTTGGTTCAACAGAAGTAACTGTTAGAGCAGGTGTGTCAAACTTGCCACGTCACTTTTTACCCCATGCCTGGGGAGGGCGCAGCTTCCGCATCCGGCCCATGGACTGGCAGTTTGACACCCTTGTGCTAGAGGGATCTTTGAGTCCTAATGGACAGTCACTTAAATATCAGTCAGCAGCGTCTAAGCTATATTAACAGAGGGATAAAATCAAGATCACGTGAAGTGTTAATACCACTTTACAATGCCTTGGTAAGACCACACTTGGAATACTGCATCCAGCTTTGATCACCATAATATAAAAAAGATGTTGAGACTCTGGAAAGAGTGCAGAGAAGAGCATCAACTATGATTAGAGAGCTGGAGGCTAAAACATATGAAGAACAGTTGCAGGGATTGGTTATGTCTAGTCTAGTGAAAAGGAGGAATAGGGGGTGACACGATAGCAGTTTTCCAATAGTTGAGGGGCTGCCACAATGAAGAAGGGGTCAGGTGCTCTCTTTCTGTTGACAGGCCCCTGCAGCCTTCCTGAGACTGCTCGGAGTGCATGAGGTCTTCGGTCTTGAAGCAGCTTCCAAGCACAGGTAATCCTCGAGTTACAACCACACAATTGAGCCCAAAATTTATGTTACTAAGTAAGACAAGTGATTTTTGCCCCATTTTGTGATCTTTCCTGCCACAGTTGTTAAGTGAATGGCTGCAGATGTTAAGTAAGCATAATGGTAGTTAAGTGAATCTGGTTTCTCCATTGACTTTGGTTGCTGGAAGGTTGCAAAAGATGATCACATGACACATCACATAAATATGAATTAGTTGCCAAGGGTCTGAATTTTGATCATGCGACTATAGGGATGCTGCAACGGTTATGTGAGAAAAATGGCTGTAAGTCACTTTTTTCAATGCCGTTGTAACTTTGAACTGACACTAAATTTGTATGAAATAGTACAGGGTTTCCTGCCTGAGCAGGGGTGTTGGACTAGATGACCTCCAAGGTCCCTTCCAACATTATATTATTATTATTATTATTATTATTATTATTTGAAAGTCAATATTACATTATTATTTATTAAATTTATTTATGGCTGCACAATTTGGAATCTGAAAAAAGCAGATAAGAAAAGGGTGGGTGCCTTCTAATTGTGGTGCTGGAGATGAAGCAATGGAAGGAAACTAATCAAGGAGAGAAGCAATCTAGAACTAAGGAGAAATTTCCTGACAGTTAGAACAATTAACCAATGGAACGACTTCCCTCCAGAAGTTGTGGGTGTTCCAACACTGGAAATTTTTAAAAAGAGATTGGACAATTATTTGAAATGGTATACGGTTTCCTGCCTGAGCAGGGGGTTGGACTAGAAGACCTCCAAGGTCCCTTCCAACTATTATTATTATGATCATCACACAGTTAGCCAGATGTTCAGACTGGATTTGGCACTTTGTCTACCTATTGAGTCCTTACCCAGGACCTGGGATAGGCAGATGATTCTGGAAAAGATATTCAGCGAGCACCTAGAGGCAAACAAAGTCATTACTAAGAGCCAACATGGGTTTGTTAAAAACAGATCATGCTAGACACATCTTACTGCATTCTTTGGCCCAGTTACAAAAATTAGTGGACTAGAGGAATGCTGTGGATATAATTTTCTTGGACTTCAGTAAGGCATTTGATAAAGTTCATATAGGGTTTCCTGCCTGAGCAGGGGGTTGGACTAGATGACCTCCAAGGTCCCTTCCAACTTTATTATATATTATTAAATGCAAGAGTGAAACCTTTCTAGCAGATGAACTTAAAACTGAGTTGTTCTTAAGAGAACACAGAGAGAAAGAGGAAAACAAACACACACACACACACAGAGAGAGAAAGAGAGAGAGAAAGAGAGAGAGAGAATCGCGATTTCTTATTAAGATAGCCAAGAACAACAAACTGAGGAGCCTGTTCACCTTTTCACAAATGGGAGCAAGACAGCAAGTCTCCTATGGTAGTCATTTTGTGAGTGTGCCTACCATATGTTTTGAAATCCCCCATGTGCCTCTGGCTCAGCTTCCTTGTGGTCTGTGAAAGTCACATGGAGCTTGCAGGGGGAAAAGCAATCTATATCTGAATTCCAGATTTTGGAGGCAACAATGGGCAGCTAGACAATGCCCACTCTTGCTTTTGTGGGGTTTTTTTTGCTTTTGGCTTGGAATCATTTAGCGCCTAGCATGGAAGGCAGAATTAGCTGAATGATGTATTTGCAGATGAAAATGTTTGTTAGAGGAGGAGGAGTCAAATTAAAAGGCCAGTAAGCCTAGGATGATTTGGCAATTCTAGTGAGGGGTTTTTGCACACAATTTTGGAACAGTCCCACCAGTCTATACTGGGAACCATTCCCTTTGTGCAAGGAGGATTAGCATATATGCACAGGCTCAACCTAGGTTCTTGGAGGATCCAAACATTTCAAACATTTTCAAGAAGGAATAAACTGCAAAGTTTTGTAGCATTCTGACTCCACCTCTTTTTTGGCTGTATTAACACAATGGATTATAGCCAAACCTGGATAACAAACCAAATCAGTATTGTTGTGCTCACTAAACATGTTAAGCCCATGTTTTTATCCTTATAATAGCCTAATTCCTTCCTTCCTTCCTTCCTTCCTTCCTTCCTTCCTTCCTTCCTTCCTTCCTTCCTTCCTTCCTTCCTTCCCTTCCCTTCCCTTCCCTCCATCTTCCTTCCTTCCTTCCTCCCTCCCTCCCTTCCCTTCCCTTCCCTCCGCCTTCCTTCCTTTCTTTCTTCCTTCCTTCCTCCCTCCCTCCCTCCCTTCCCTTCCCTTCCCTCCACCTTCCTTCCTTCCTTCCTTCCTTCCTTCCTTCCTTCCGTCCTTCCTTTCCTTCCCTTCCTTCCTTCTTCCTTCCTTCCTTCCTCCTTCCCTCCCTTCCCTCCCTTCCCTCCCTCTTCCTTCCTTCCTCCCTCCCTCCCTCCCTTCCCTTCCCCCTCCGCCTTCCTTCCTCCCTTCCTTCCTTCCTTCCTTCCTTCCTTCCTTCCTTCCTTCCTTCCTTCCTTCCTTCCTTCCTTCCTTCTTCCCTTCCTTTCCCTCCGCCTTCCTTCCTTCCTTCCTTCCTTCCTTCCTTCCTTCCTTCCTTCCTTCCTTCCTTCCTTCCTTCCTTCCTTCCTTCCTTCCTTCCTTCCTTCCATCTTCCCTTCCCTTCCCTTCCCGTGGGAACTGTTTTTGGTCTTCCATAGTTTCAAAGAGGATCTGAACTTGGGCTCTTGAGATGAAAACAAGTTAGAGAAGCATGTGAAAAATGCAGTGGTGCCCAAGCAGCTGGGTTATAAAAAAGTCCTTCTTGGCGGGTTAACCAAATCTCTGCTCTTTAGTATAGGCACACAGTGTGGATGCGTGGACAAAAAGGGTGGGGCTTTAATAACACTGCTATCATCTTAACTTTTTTGACCATCCCTGTAAATGCTGTTAACTTCTAGAATTCTTCCCAACCCATTTATGGGCAGTGGCCTTAGAAGGATCTCTACAGGAAGTCCTCAACTTATGAAATCTCTCAAAATTTGGTTTTGGATTATATATTGTATTTTGTATCGTTATTGTTTCCAATGTGATATCCTGTAATCCATCCAGAATTATCTAGATTAGTATGGCCGATAAATGCAATGAAATTTAAAAATAAATTAAATGCTCAGCTCCATTCAGTCACCCTGACGCCACCCTCAATAAAGGGATTAAAAGGACATAAAAAGAAAAAAATATATAGCTGATAAATTAAAGCAGGGGTGTCAAACTCAATTTCATTGAGGGCCACATCAGCATTGCGGTTGCCCTCGGGGCCGGGTGGGTGTGGCCAGGGTGGGCGCGGATGGAGTGGGTGTGGCCTACCGGGTGAGTGTGGCCAGCTATACATCGTTCGCGTCAAGGGTGCCTGTGGGGGCCTGGGCAGGAGTGGGATAGATCTGAGGGTTTCTGTCAGAAGGGGGTGGGACCGGGCAAGTGCCAAGGCATGGTCCACTGGAGGAGCCTCACAGTTCCTCTCAGGCCATACGGGGGGGGGGGGGGCTTATGGAGCTAAGACTGAATGTGTTTCAGCATAGGTGGCCACCACAAAATTGTACATTGGCTCCCAACTGGCCTGAGCCATGGCCAAGGCAGAGGGGGCCGTTCCCTCACTGTTTCCAGGATGGCTTCATGGGCCACATGAAACTACTTCGCGGGCCACATCTGGCCCCCGGGCCTTGTGTTTGACATGTCTGAATTAAAGCAATCACAGGTAGTCCTCAGTTTATGACCATAGTTGGGACCAGAATTTCCATTGCTAAGCAAAGCCGTTGTTCAGTGTGTTGTGCCCACTTTTATACCCTTCTTTTTTAACCACAGTTGTTAAATGAATCATACAGTCAAGCAAATCTGGCTTCCCCTGACTTCGCTTGTTGGAAGCTGGCTGGGAAGGTCACAAATGGTGATCACACGACCCTGGGATGCTACAAATGTTCTAAATGCAACTGTCACCAAGTGCCCAGATTTTGATCACATGACCGAGGGGATGCTACAATGGTTGTAAGCACGAGGACTGGTCATAAGTCACTTTTTTCAATGCCACTATAATTTTGGTCACTAAACAAATGTTTCTACCTGTATTTTCTTCTGCATAATTTGGCACAATTTCAGAGAGTACAACCAAGATTTGGAGAGACACAACTTTTGAAAGATGTGTTATTTATTAAATTTATAAGCCACCCATCTCCCTGATGGAAATGCTCTAAATGTGGCGTTACTACTAGAGTAGCTGCTGGGGAAAAAAAAAACAATTTCCATGAACGTTGACAATCTCTACCTGCTACAGCAGTGGTTCTCAACCTGTGGGTCAGGACCCCATTTGGGGTTGAATGACCATTTCACGGGGGTCGCCAAACAACGCAGTCTGCCATTTTTTTCCCCTTTTCCTTAGCTGTGCTACTCCCTTTTAGTCTATTGGCTTTTGAAAGCCAATAGAATAGACTCTCTTGAATAGAGTCTAATTCTATTGGCTTTCAAAAGCCAATAGGAATTGTCCAGGCTGTCTCTGCCCTGCTGAGCCCGCCAAAAGTCTCATTCTGCAAACGGTGCTGCACCAGTTGAGTAGTCCTCGACTTACGACCGGTTGGGGGTCGCGGCATTAAAAAGGTTGAGAACCACTGTGCTATAGGGATGCTGTTTACTCAGTGGTAGGAGGAATAAAGAAGGACAACGTCTTTGGCTCATCCTCTAAATCAGTGTTTCTCAACCTGGGCCACTTGAAGACATGTGGACTTCAGTTCCCAGAATTCCCCAGCCCACCAAGCTTGGCTGGCTGGGGAATTCTGGGAGTTGAAGTCCGCATATCTTCAAGTGGCCAAGGTTGGGAAACACTGCTCTAAACAAAATTGCTCTAAATCTCCACTGGGCTTAAAACGAAAAATCCCCAAACCCACTAAATTTGCCACCCCAGGACTGGAAGGAAGGGGCAGATGTAACTCAGCGAGAGTTCATCTAAATGTAGTTCAGGAAAGGAAAGCCATGGGCGTGAGGTTCCGTTTCCTTCGGATGAATATATAAAGAAGGGAGGGTGCTAAGTTCGAATTGCC